AAACCATCAAATCAGATTTGACTTGTCTTTTATGGTCCACGAAATTATTTTAAGTTCAAAAGATTTGGGCAAGCAGTATTGTCATTTTCATCTGGAAACCAAAGAAAACCCAATTTTTAAGATAAGTAAGGGGCATTACTCTGGAACAGTACATGGTCAATTTATATTCATCCTTAAACTTGACAGAGAGCGAAATAACTTTATTGTTGAAGACTTTATTTGACAATAATGTCTTATGTTTCCAAGACAAAACTATCTCACTGATGTATACCTTGCATCTCCTTTGATATCCAGTATTGTGATAAGTGACCAAGTATCTATGTGTTGTTTTTCAATGTGGAATAATTGTATCCTCAGACTAAATAAAGATACAGTGCTAATAAAAATATTAATTGCATAGCAATATAATATTTCCCACAGAAAGTAACCAAAAGTTAGCGTGCAATAAATTCTATTATTAAAACTAATATATAATATGGAAATAGAAATATTACATTGGAAAAACTGGGGACTAACAGCTGCATACACATAATAAACATTAAGAGTTATCCCCCTTTTAACATATAAATGAAAATTTATATACAGAAACCTTGGAGGATAAGATAAAATTTGATGATAAAAGTATACAATTTTATCGAAAAGTCCAAATACAGATGCATAGCAGCTGTAGCCCCAAGTTAATTTTTCCTTTTATTGCCAGTACAACAGTTTAAGACAAGGAAATTGATGAAACTAACTGATTTTGAGCTAACCTTGTTGAATTACTCTTGGGCTGGTATAAATATACCTAGTATAACAATCTGATGACCACCTGCCTAATCTTTTAATCAAGTGGTCTTCTAATCTTACTTCCTGTGCGGTTGTTGCTGCTCCAATTCTGAAAGAATGTCCATTATAATTTTTGCTTTGAAGACCTAAATTGTCTAAAATAATTTTGACATGTTTGATGAAAAATTGTCTACTTAAAGGATTGCCATTATCAGAGACAAACAGAGCATCAGATGTAATACTTGACATTTTTCTCCGAAGAGACAAATAATTTTTAACAGCAATGCAAGGACAAATAATATGTCTACTTTTGTATAAGGGTATAGTAACACCCTGTCTGAAAGGATCTGTTTTAGATTTTTTCAAATGTAACAAAATGTGATCTTCAAAAATTTCTAAATCACCAACACACAAATGTGTTTCCGAATCAAAATTGCTAAGTATAGTGAACTCTCCACAACGCAAAAAAGCAAAAAAAGCTCCAACACAAGCTGCCTTTAATATTACATTGTTAAAAAGACTGAAAAAATTGCTTCTCAATAGCATAACCATTGTGTACAACAAAGATATAGTAATTGGCAATCTAGGCCTTTTAACACAACCTTTCTGCTTCTTTTTTAAACCATTTAAAATTGTTTGTAAACATTATAATGGCTTGCCATATTGTTCTAAAGGACTAAATCCTAAATATTGCAGGTAATAATATCTTATACCACATAAATACAGTTTAATTGTGCTATATTTTAAACTTTTATGGTCATCGTAAAAGGCAACAAATCGCATTAACAAAGTTTCTGAAACAGGCGGCATTTCATTTGAAGTCCAGAATGATCCCTGCAATAAGGAGAACTTCTTATATAGATCAAAACCTGTAGTATAATGCGATCTTGTACTATCAGCTACTGAATATTTCCATAACGTGTCTACTGAGCTGTCCAAAGAATGTCTGAAAGCTGTGGGCAAGGAGTGGCTGTTACTTCTGCTAAAGGTGCTAAAAGTCTGAACTTGTTCATCTGAAAACGAGACAATGCATCAGCAATTACATTAGATTTTCCTGGTAAATGTTCACTATAGACAGCAAAGTTATAAGTTGCAGCACACATTATAAGTTTACGCATTAAATTCATAATATTTGTTTCTTTCGATCGACCTTTAGCAATAATGTGGACTGTTGCTAAATTGTCACAGTAAAAAAGAATCCTTTTACCACACCACTCCTTACCCCATAGAACAGCTGCAACAACTATAGGATAAAGTTCCAAAAAGGCCATAGAAGCAGCAAAGTCAGATTTGCATGGTAAAGTTTCAGGCCAACGGTCACAAAACGATTTATGCTGGTAATATCCACCAAATCCTATCGAAGAGGACGAATCTGTATAAAGCATCATATCTGCTGCTTTAGTTAAAGTCTTTTCATAAAAGAAATTGATGCCATTTCAATTTTTTTAAGAAGATAACCTCATGTATAAATCAGCTTTGCACTCTTTGTTTAAATGAACATGATAAAAACTCTCTTTGACAGATGACATTAACTTGTACAAATAACTAACAAAAGAGCGTCCTGGAAGAATAACTCTAGTTGCAAAATTTAAATGTCCAAGCAACTGTTCAAGTTCTTTCCTAGTACTGGACTTTTTACTTAAAATTAAAGTTATAAAATCTGTAATTCTTATCGCTTTGTCTTGAGACAATCTAGCTTGCATATTTACAGTGTCTAATACAATGCCTAAATATTCTAAAATACAAGTAGGACCAACAGTCTTTTTCTTCGATAGAGGAATACTCAATTTGTTAAAAAATAAAGAAAGTAAAGCCATTGTTCTTTCTCCACACTCAGTAGGCCTATTAACTGTTAAAAAATCATCTAAGAGGTGAAAAATTACATTAATGTTATAATTATTTTTGGCTATCCAACATATACTTCTTGACAACATATCAAATAATTTGGGACTAGATCGACAATCAAAAGGAAGTCTTACATAATGATAATAAAAATTGTCCCATTTAAAACAAAATAAATGCCATTGGGTAGGTAAAATAGCCAAATGTTTGAACGCATCGCAGACATCTACCTTACAACAGATACTATTTAAACCATATTCTTGAATTGATTGCATCATCAACTTTAATGTAACTAAGTGAACATAAATCTTTGTCTATCAAATCATTCACACTACCATGATCACAGCTGTTGTGAGGCGAGGAAAGATCCAATATAAGTCTTTTCTTAAAAGAATATTTATGTACTGCTTTACCGATTGGACTAACCCTATAAACAGAAAAAGGGGGGTGTAAAAAAGGTCCCTGAATGAAGCCTTTAACCAATTCATCTTGAAGTAGAGCAGTTACTGAATCTGGATCTTTCCTGGCTGACAAAGCATTTTTACATTCATATGTAGAAATATTAATGTCAGAAACTAACATATCAAAACCATATCTAACACTATAACACAGTAAGCTAACAAAGTTTTTGTCAGGGTGATTTCTTAGCTCAAATTCTAACTGGTCACAATTTATAGGTGAAGAAGCTCTACAATCAGAGAGTAGTAATTTTTTCGGAACTAATTTACTGTTTGTTTTAACTAAGTTTTGATCATTGTGTTGATGACCTTCTTTGTAGTTTTGACAAGCAACTTTGCCATGAGTTTTACTTTTACAAGTTTTACAAGCATGTACGTATTTACAATAAGGTTTAGAGCAACCTGTAAACCCATTGAAATTGTTGCAAACAGGTAAACCATCTACAAATATAACATCACCGCCAATAGAATCGGGTGTGTTTCTGTATGAAGTAGAATTTCTTTGTGGCTGAAAATTTTGCTGCTGTACACTACACATAACGGTGGAGTGAGTTGTTGAGTGACACTTCCTACATGTGTTGATCTTAGAACCTGCACATACCATATTACGTAAATCTGAGTCCCCTTTTGACCAATCTATTTTGATGTTGTGTTGAATTAGCATAACAGCACATTTAGCTGAGAATATTTTGTGATATTCATAAAAACAGTCTGGCCAGATGTTTGCCGTTTCAATAATGTGTGCCAGGTATAAATCTAGCTCCTCGTTTCTGTTAAGGAAAGCTGTACCCATAATACGTTTGTAACGTCCAAAGGCGATTACAAATTCGTTCATTGATAGATTTCTCTGGAGTCTTACATCTGATTCCTTATTCTTTCTAATAGTTGTGTTTTCATAGTTTGGAATTAATAACATATTAAGATTCACATCTTTACCTCCAATAATATCATTCCTTAATTCGGGGGAAACCATGTCTAAAGCTGAAAACGTCAGGAAGCTGGGTATCCGATTTTTCCTGGAATTGAATAATTTGCAGAATAAAAAGGAATAGTCGAAGTAAATGACGACGCAATGCCTGGTGAAGTTGAACCATTTCCAAAAGCTGTTGATAAAGTAAAACGTGGCTGTATCTGATCGCCTTGTTTATTCATATCATTTCATTGTTGCATTGACTGTTGACAAAGTTGAATAATGTCCATGAGGAGTGTACGGATCACATCAAATTAAGTCGAGTATGCGGTTAGAATTATACGTATCTTTATTCATCAAAATTACATTTGGCAGTATATCGTAACAACCGATTCTCTACAATAAAATAAAAATACACATTAACATATATCGTAAGTAAAAATGTAAATCAAAACACTAAAAACATAATACTAAACAAACAATAGGAATCACTTTCTTTCACGATTCATAAATAACTTGTTAAATTAAAAAGTTAATTGAAATACATATTAATTAATAAGTTCTTTTACATTTCTTTATATTTCTTTTTTAAATAAATATTGTTCTTAAAAATGTACATAAATATCTCTTACCGATTATAATCTCTCTGTACAAAATACTGATGTGTCTCCGAATAATAAATAACTTGCAATGAATAAAAACTCTAGACAACGTAACGTACGTCAAAGGCGAAACGTCATAAAACTAAAAAAAACGGGAAATATTACAATTTATACGAGCGCAACGTTACATTTGCGCAAATACTCAAAAATAGTATCTACAAGTATTATAAATAAAATAAATAAATTCAGTAATAATAAATGGAAGAAACCCAACAATTTGGAATAACATTTCAAATCTAACAAGGAGGTTTTCCATGTTTACATTCTGTATCGTTGCGTGCGTAGATGAAGCAGTGGGCGGAAGCTGAATGGTTGCGTGCGCAGATGAGGAAGAAGGCGTAGTTATCTCCTGTTGAACGGTTGGAATTGAGTGAATATTCAACCGCGGATTAACATCGCTATCAGAATTATTCATGTCAACAGAATCAAATCCGGTTGCAGCACTTACGTTTAAAGAATAGCTTCCATCTGAAACAGAATTCCTTTCAGCTGAATTCTCGGAATTATCAATCCCTGCGGAACTATTTTCATTAGATTGATTGTCCAAGTACAATCTTCTCTAGGTTGATTCCCTCCGTAAAATATTCAGTATGCCTTCGGAATATACAAAGTATTGTCAAGAATTTCAATAACGGCCGGGTACCAGTCTAAATCTTCTCAAACTACTGTTTGATAAATGTCCCGTAATCTTAATCCCGATTTTACCGAGGGCAGCCTTTAGTTGAGACGCGGTCCAATTAGAAGGATTTTGGTCGTTTAATGTTTCTGTTTGTACACGACTTGCCGATTTCCTCCTTGTAGCCATTTTGGTTCTACAAGGTCGTGGCAGAAAGTATGTTAAACAATGTTAAAGAAACAGGACACCATGAATTCGTAAAGTCTTAGATCACACAGAATAATGTACAAATATCAATTTATAAGTATTAATATCCAATCAATAATTTAAAATATGAAAATCCAATCAAAACGTAATGAAAATATTTGACGACATAAGTGCATTACTATTGATCTGAAAGCAGCAAAATAGATGACATATATCCCAAACTAAGTTGAAAATGAGGCTAACATGTTCTAGAGGTACAAAAAAGGGGAAACCCTTTTTTATGACTAAAACTGAGATAATCCTTTATATAAACATCAATTATCCAAATAATTGTTAAGTGATACTTAATTTATCAACAAGAATCTAAACTTGAGACGGACAGACTGATGTGTGCATCACTATATACCCTCCTCTTTGAGGCAGGGGTATACACATCTTGTTTAAGGAAGGAACACATAACATACTTTGTAAAAAACCCACTATTATCTCTGAAAAATGGATCATCAAGATGCTGGATTTTTTCGTTGGAAAACATTTTTGTTACATTTTGAGAAAGGTTTTTTAACAAAAAAATCAGCATTCCCATGGGGAACACTGTGCCTTCTGCTTCCCAATCTTTTGAGTTAGACTTCATACAGGATCTTCTAAAGAAAAAATTTAAGAAGCTGGCATTTCCTTAAATTTCAGTTTGTGCTATATATAGATGATGTCCTTTTGCTAAATAATTCAAAAGATTGGCGACTATGCTGACTGCATCTTTCTGTTGTACTTGAAAAATAGGATATCACAGATACATTTAGTTCTGCTTCATATATTGACTTGTATCTAGAAATTGACAATGAGGGGAAGTTGAGAATTAATCTTTACAACAAAAAGAGATGATATTCAATGTTCCCATTGTGAACTTCCCATTTCAATGTAACAACATTAAAGCAACAACTGCATGCAAATGGAGTATAGTTCTCCCAGTTGATACAATATTCTAGGGCTTGCATTTTCTGTCATGATTTCCTTGATAGTAGATTGCTTTTTACAAGGAAATTTTTGCATCAAGAGTTCCAAATGGTAAAGTTGAAGTCATTCCTTCGTAAGTTTTACAGGCATCATCATGGTTTGGTTGATTGCTATTGAATATCTGTGTCTTAGATGACCCAAGGATATGTTCACTAAGGTAATCCTATCCTGTCCTCTTTGTCTTGATTGTGAAATTACTAAATGCGACTTTTCACAGATTTTTACTTGTCATGAGTAACACAATAGGTGCCACAAGTGGAGCAGGAACTATCCTTCTGGAGTACCTTAAAAGCTTATTTCATCCCTAGTTATGTTTCAAAGGTATTTGTGTTGCTTTTGCTTTAGCTTTCAGTATTGTTTTTTGTGTAATTTTATTTTTCAAAGCTTGTGCTGTCTATTCTGGTTACAGTTTTGTTTGTCTGTTGTGCTGGTAAACCTTGCTTTCATTTCAAACTTTCACATTCTTTCAAGTCTAAAAGTAAAATAATTTTAATGTACCAATGGTTTTTGTATTTTGGAATGTCTCCTTAGAAAAGAGACATTTATCAATCAATTTTTGTGAGATGTCTTATCATTGAATATGAATATATTTGAACAAATGAAACAAGTGTGTCCGTAGTGAACAGGAGCTGCTGACCCTTCCTTGGCAGCTGAGTTCTGCCTGCTTTTTGATAGGGTGTGTTTTGCTTAATCTTTAGTTTTCTATGTAATGTTTTGTTTTTTTGCTTATCTTTTCGTTATTTTTCTTTTTTGCCATTGTGTTGTCTGTTTTTATTGGACTTTTTGATTTTTCATTGACCACTTGGGATCTTCTTTCTTTTGTTCACATAAAATGCCAAGATTAAGTCTCGCACATCTTGCTTTTATAGAGACAAGACAAATCTGAAACTGTTATTGTTCTTTCTTCATGTGTGATTTTGTTGTCAAAAGTAGGGTCAGTAATGGGTCATTTTAGCCAAATCTCAAAACCTGATACTTTTTGTATTTTCTTCTGGAAAAGTCGTGATTGGGGTAAAATATCACTATTGTTCTGTGTTTTCTTTTATAGCTTTTAGTCAGAGTGAGTCCTCCTACATCTTAAGATGTTGTTATATACCCAATAGTGACTATTTTGTTCTTGCTGCATTGTATAATAAAATGCTCCGCTGGGCGCAGCTTGATACGACCGCAGAGGTCGAACCCTGAACAGTTGGGGCAAGTATGGACACAACATTCAAGCTTGATACAGCACTGAATTTGGATTGTGATTAAATATTTGACACAGCATAGGTTTCACAGAATGAATGTGGTCTAAGAACTTAAAAAATTTTAATTTACCTATTCAAACCATATCATTATTATTTGCTTTTATATATAAATCAGAAATAACCAATTTAAAATGGAAACTTTTAAAGAAAAAAAAAAAAAGGAAAAAAAATCCCTCCCCCAAATTTTTTGAATCCCCTCATGATTCATCACCCCCAAACTCAATCCCAGCCTTCCCTTTGTGGTATAGTACCTTGCAGTACAATTTCAGAGAGATCCATACACTTGAACACAAGTTATTGTCTGGAAACTAGAAAATGCTTGTTTTAGGCCCCTTTTTGGCCCCAAATTCCTAAACGTTTAGGGCAATTACCCCCAAACTCAAACCCAGCTTTCCCTTTGTGATATGGAACCTTGTAGTACAATTTCATAAAGATCCATACACTTACACACAAGTTATTGTCCTGAAACTAGAAAAATGCTTGTTTTTTGCCCCTTTTTGGCGCCTAATTCCTAAAATTTGGAGGCAATTACCCCCCAAAATCAATCCCAGCCTTCCCTTTGTGGTATGGTACCTTGCAGTACAATTTCAATGAGATCCATACACTTGAACACAAGTTATTGTCTGGAAACTAGAAAAATGCTTATTTTTGGTCCCTTTTTCCTTAACGTTTTAGGCAATTACCCCCAAACTGAATTCCAGCTTTCCCTTTGTGATATGGAACCTTGTAGTACAATTTCATAAAGATCCATACACTTACACACAAGTTGCGGTCGTATAAAAATGAACATATTTTTTAAATCTTAAATTGACTTTCAAGGTTTTCAATTTATCGGTCGAGTTTCCTTAGGAGTTACATGAAGTACATGTTGTTTTTTTATCCATGATCACAAATCATCATCCACCTTTTTCAACCTATGAAGGCAAAATAGGTACTATCACAAATTCCAGCAGCAAAAAAATTTTTCCAATTATTTTTAATACAATCTCTTAGTTCAAACTAGTAAACATTACAAATAAAAATAACAAATAAAGAAGAAGATAACTGTCTTTCAAACTAAATGGCATGTTTGTCCTCTATTGAAAGGTCTAACTGTGGTAAATTGTGGAGGTGGTTCAATACGATCCCTTGCTTGTTTGTATCTTTCTCTGTCCATTTCCCATCTTCTTTCTTCCTGCAAAGAATGCAAAAAATAATTATAAGAATGTGTTCAAGAACATGAAAGTCCTATACTCCCAGCTGAGTTTAGTAAACCAAGCCATGAAATAAATTACTTGACTTAAACTAATGTCTCCCCTTCATTTCTGATCATGTTTTTCTTCCAGCCATCCAATCACTGAACTCTCCAGTATGTTTAATGTGCTGTCATGACCAGCTTTACTTGAATAAGTATACCCAAATTTATGATTGGAGTTTTGTCATCATATTTTAATCACAGTACAATATTAAAATAAGAAAAAGTGGTATGATTGCCAATAAGATGACTCTTCAACAGGGACCAATTGACATCAAACTTTTAAAAATAAGATATCCTTTTTAGCTGTCAATTTTCCATGTAATTAAGTAAGGGAGATAATCATGTAACTAACAACGCTAGTTTTTATCCCAAATTCTGCTAGGGGATTGCAATAACATATACTTTGCCTTAAGAAAACAATTAATTTCTCAACAAAACGTTTTCATAAAAGTTCAGCATGTTTTATATAAGCATGAACCATGTGAGTCGCTTACCGTTGTAGAGTTACACCCCTTTATAACATGGAAAATTGCAATATTTTTCATTTCCACTCCTAACTGAAGTTTGCCTCATGCAAAATTTTAGCAAATTCATACAAAATGCTAAGAACCACAACACGCAGACAGATTCAAATTTGGGCAGTGAGTCATATATCCTTAAAGATTTATGTCCCTTTTAAACTTGGAAAATTGCAAGGCTTAAAACTCTGACACATTTTTTCATTCAACTTCCCAGTAGAACTCAAGTTTACCCGTAACTTGATTTTGAACTTAAACACAAATTTAAATCCAGAATTTTTCAACAACCCTGTGACTTACTGATTTAAAACCGCTAATACATTCTTTAAAATCTTCAAATTCAGCTAGACATTCTTTGCCTGTCTGTACATTTCTCAAGCCAACACGACTGGCACATCTGAAGTAATCCAACTCAATGTCTGCACATTTCTCATTTCTTTGATTATGGTACCACTGTGCAGTTACAGGTGTTAGTGGCGAGTAGAACAATGGTAATCCAAATCCAGCACCTAATCCAGGATAATGATGATCCCAAATCTTCCTAAATCTATTTACACCTCTCCTGAAACTTGGAACTGGTGGTACGTCACGTTTTTGATCTCTCAAATTCTGAAATAATAAATAGTATTAAACATGTTTAAAGCACCGCCAACTAAACTTAATAAGGAGTTTTCACCTGAAATGATATTAAGATTATTTGACCCAACATTGGAATTTTACTTGACAAAAATAACTTCATACCACAGGTGTAATACAAAGCTGTTTCTTTGTGATTCTCATTTTATCAACATCTTAAGTAATAATGGTTGTAAATTTACATACTATATGTATTTTGTCTATGTCAGTTTCAAAAGCTTTAAAAAACTTACCAGGGTTTATAGTCATTAACTTTTTTAACAACTTGCTCTTTGCCTTTGGGCAAGTGACCTTGATATATATTACTTAATTAGAAAACGGTAACCACCTGACCAAATTATGTTCTTGCTTAAGAAATTTTAAACTGCCATTTATGGACATAAAATCAGGTAAATGCAATTAAAAAAGGAATGAAATGTAGCCGATAGTCAAAATTGATGTACCAAGCCATTTGAAATACACCAATTCACCAGTCACCTTTAGAAGAGAAAGCTCAATGAAATATATATATGGTTAAAGACATAACATAACATTTTTGTAGTTTTCTGTGTTTAATAAGTTTGTTTTCTAATTTGCCATGACTAATTTGTCTTTCCTTTACAGTATTTAAACATAATCCAATTATCTGCAATTCACTAAGTCTATTTTACAGGATTCAATAATTCTCCTATCCCCTTTTTTCGTATTATTTTAAATTTTTGTTTCATCAATTTTAGCTATCTGTTTTCTTGTATTCTGCCAAAAAACATAGGGACCCCAGAGTTAGCTGCTGTACTACCTAAATCACAGGCCGGGGCTCAGAAATGTTATTTTACAACATAATGTGCTCTCTTTCCAAAATAAACACTAAGAATATAACAATTTTCCTGGACCTCTGCTTAAAATGGGGTCGATACTTGGATGGGACTCACTCTCATATATTTTTACCCACAGAACTCTTTCCTCTTATATCATGTATAGATATAATTTTATACAAAGTAAAGTAAAAACAAAGACATTAATTACTTAATGAAAATCAACTGTAGCTTGAAAAAAATATGATTCATTATTTAACACATTAATACTTGGTACATCACACAACTATATATTATATATATGCTGGAAACTAGAAATTAACAAACCTCAGTCAGTCCTATGTAAACCTCTCTTACCACATCTGGCATTGTGAACACCTGAAATAATTAACATTTGGAAACTATTTATAACTATTCAGACTGAGTAAAACTTTTAAGTAATACAGTTATTAGTGTGAATCAACGCTCTATCAAATTTTCAGATAAGTGTACAGATTAACAGCTGTATAAATTCAAGACTTAAAATAAGTTACTATCATTCCTTCATTTGTTAATTTTTCTTTAAAAGTTAGCCCTGTCACACTCTTACCTGGTATGATTGACTGGATGATGAAAATTTAGCAAATTGAGAAAATGGACTGATTTCTTCATCAATATACATGTATATTTGCACAGGGCACAAGGTAAAGTTTAACAAGTATATATCCAATGTGAGCAGAGTACAGTGTTGCACATGATAGTGGTGTCTTGAACATTAATATTCTAGAAAGAATAATATATAATAACCTAGTAAAAATATGACATTTTTAATATTTATTCTACTTTTATTGGAATCAGTTATGTTTGCTTATTCGAAATCTTATTCAGTGGCTCTTTTGTATATCTTGTATTGATGATAATTCTTATTGGTTATGGTTGATACCTATTCATAAAAGTTTTTGAAATAATTGGCAAAATTAATGAAATTGGGGGGGAAAAAATTAAAGAATAGCATGAATAGTGCACACCCTGAAATGTCTCACCTGTTTTTTTTATGTTTTAATCATATTTGAATAATAATGATGAGGTCAAGGTCAAATGAACCTGGCAAGAAAGACAGGTTCACCTTACAATCATTCCAAACTCCAAATATGGTTGACCTACTGCTTGTAGTACATTGTATATATGATTAACTGACAAAACCATGAAAACTTAACATTGATCAATGATACATGAAAATGAGCTCAAGGTCAGATGAACCCTGCCAGACGGACATGTATACCTTACAATCTTACACCAAATATAGTTGACTTATTGCAGCTGCCTATTGCTTATAGTATCTGAAAAACTGACAAAACCATAACTGAACATTGACCAATGAACCTTGAAATAAAGGTCAAGGTCAAATGAAACCTGCCAGACAGACATTACACCTTACAATCATTCCATACACCAAATATAGTGACCTATTGCTTTGTTGAGAATAGTACGAAGTAATAACATTACGTTTCCCGTATTTACATTCACATGTTTGTGACATTACTTAGACCTTGTAAATAATATACGCAAAGTACATATACGACTTACTTAGTTTATTCCACACTTTTATGGTGCTGTGACCATTGGATAAGATGGACAACAAGCTAAAAGCTGTCAGAGCCGGTCACAAAAGTGCAGTAAAGAGACTTTTACGGAAAGCGGAAGATGATGATTCAAACTTGGACAATGAAGAAAGTGCTGAACTTTTAGAAACATTAATTCAAAAACAGAAAACTATTAGTGCATTGGACGAAGATATTATGAATTCTTTAAAGGAGGATGACATTGAGGAAGAAATTCTTAATGCAGATGAGTACAAATTTTTTTTGAACACCAAAATACGACATATATACGGAAAACATTCGCAAATAAAGTATGTACTGATGTCCCACATCATGATCACACATTACCTTCTCACACTTTTGAAAACATTAATCAACACAGTTCTGTTCCGTACACAACACAAATGTATCCCGTACAGCAACCTAGCAACCAAAATCACCATTTGCCGAAACTTACACTACCCATGTTTAACTGAGAAATTCTGACTTGGCAAACATTTTGGGACTCTTCCGTCCATTACAATGTAACACTCACAGACGTACAGAAATTTTGTTATTTAAAATCCAAGCTTGTTAAAAGGTGCTGCAAGAACTATTTACGGTTTACTGCTCACAAACTCAAATTACATGGAAGCTATTAAACTTTTATTTATTTAAAGGAGTGCTTCGGACAATCGAATAAGATTACAAATGCTTATATGCAAGCTATGCTAGAACTTAGAGCACCACAAAACAACCTACTCAGTCTACGCGTTTATTAAGACAAGTTAGAGGCATATAAAAGAGGTCTTGAATCGTTAGGCCACTCCCGAGAATTGTATGGTGCCTTACTTATTCCCATAATACTGAACAAGCTTCCGTCAGAAATACGACAACACTTAGCCCGTGAAAACGGTTTATGGATTCAATGCAGCCTACCGCAATGACCGCATCGTTTTTGACAAGCGCTAATAGAAAAGGTGAACCGAGTAAAGTAGATACATTCGATAACCGTGAGAGACAAACACCAAATATTCGCCAAAAACCTTGCACATTCTGCCAGAATTTACATAACCCTGCAAAATGCTCAAATGTTACAGATAACTACAAACGCCTAAGTATCGTCACACAAAAGAAGTTATGTTTTAACTGTTTAGGATTACACCGTTCCGTAGATTGTAAATCGAAATTTCGCTGCCGCCTGGGCCATAAAAAGCACCACACAAGTCATTGCCATGAAAATATATGTACTAATAATAAGCAAAGGTCAGTAAATGCCTTAGTTAATGATAGCAAAAATACATTGATCGCCGCAAGTTTTCATTCGTCTGAAGAAAAATCCCATTCTAACGTACTTCTAAAAACTGCCGTTGCACCAGTTGGGGGAAATGGATATGTTGATACGCACATTTTGTTTGATGAAGGAGCACAGCGTTTTTTTGTTACCGATGAGTTAGCGTCTAAAAATAGACTTAGAAATACTAGGAACAGAAACCATACATTTATCGGCATTGGAAGTACCGACAACAAAGTCCGTCATTTTTCAAGAGCACGCTTATACGTAAGAGTCGATAAATAGAACGAAAATTCCAGTTGGGGTTCTAGTAGTACCGAACATCGCCAGCCCATTAACCAATTACATTGGTAATGGTATACGAGAATTCAAGTACCTGAAAGGATTACGTTTAGCTCATCTGTTTACAGAAGACAACTCTTCTTTTGAAATTTCCTTACTCATCGGAGCTGATTTCTATTGGGATTTCGTAAAGGATACAATATTAAGAGGAAATGGTCCAACTGCCGTAAAGTCAAAACTTGGTTATTTGTTGTCTGGTCCAATTCCGACGTCTAATCGTCAACAGAGTAATGTAGGTATGTACAACATATTGACATCGCACAAACCAGAGGAGTTCAATTTAGAAAGATTTTGGGAATTAGAGTCATTAGGAATAGATAGCAACACGACAGATGTTGAAACAGTAGACTATATTGAAACATATCAAAAGTCAGCAATTGAATTCCGAGAAAACAAGTACATAGCAAAGTTGCCATGGAAACCAGATCACGAACCCTTGCCTACCAACTTCTTCGTTACGAAACGAAGAACTGAAAACGTCATTCGAAAATTAAGTCAAGATCCCGATGATTGCCTTATGAACACACCCCTGATTTTAAACGACCTTACAAAGATTTTGATAAGATTTCGATTGAACCCCGTTGCCATAGTAACTGACATTGAGAAGGCATTTTTACATGTCGGACTCCATGAACAGGACCGTGATGTCACAAGATTTTTATGGTTAAATAACCCTGTTGATCCACAAAGCGATTTAGAGACATATAGGTTCAAGTCTGTACTATTTGGAGCGAAGTGTTCACTGTTTATCTTAAACGCTGTACTGCTAAAACACTTACAGCAAACAGAAAATGAATCTACTAAAATACTCACAAGGGATTAATATGTTGACAACATTTTATCTAGCATTTGCAATGTAAAACAAGCCGTAACTTATTTCAAGAAGCGCGACAATTGATGTTAAATGCAGCATTTAATCTTCGCTCATGGACCTCAAACAACGAAAATGTGAGAAATCTAGCTATCAAGGAGGACGTGTTAGATACCGACAAAGAAGCAAAAATATTGGGAATGCGTTGGAATGTCAAAACGGATGAATTATCTTACGCAAAACGAGTTTTACCGTCTGTATCATCACATATTACAAAACGAGAAATTCTGAAAGAATCTTCAAAGATTTTTGACCCGCTAGGATTTTTAAGCCCAGTTAGTATACGAGCAAAGATTTTGTTGCAAGATTTGTGGAAAGAACGCTATGATTGGGATGAACCCCTACCCGAAAATCTACAGTTACAATGGAAGGATCTGGCAAAAGACATAGGAATCTTTACAAGTATGAAATTGCCTAGACTATACTTTACTGGAAATACAAACTCAAGATCACTACATGTATTTGTCGACGCAAGCATGAAAGCGTATGGAGCTGTAGCATACATGTATCTATCGAAAGGACATAGTGCCGCATTAGTGATGGCAAAAACGTGAGTTGCACCCGTTAAAAAGCTTACATTGCCACAATTAGAATTAATGGCCACCGTAATAGGAGCTCGCTTGACACAACATCTTAAATCTACTTTGGAATGTACAGATGTGACACTTTGGTAGGACAGCCAAATTGTACTTCAATGGCTAAATACGTCAAAACTGTTGAAACACTTCGTATCAAACCAAATTAAAGAGATTAAGGAATTAACAGAAGAATGCAAATGGAAATACTGCCCAACAAATTGTAACCCTGCTGATTTGCTCACTCGTGGTATAACCACAAAACAGTTTATGGAGAGTGTATTATGGAAAACAGGACCGACTTGCCTAATTCAAAATTCAACTAACTTCGAAACGAATATACCTATTAACACAGCTTTACCCGTATTAGCAGACGACAATGAGGAGACATTAGATGAAGAAAGCAACACTGACAAAAATTATGATCTTCATTTTCGAATTGACAAAATTATAAATGCTTATAGGTATGGATATACGAGAAACTTTTGCTTTATATAGTACCTGAGAAATAGACCAACCCACAAAAACTGAATATTGTTCAATGAACCATGAAATAAAGGTCAAGGTTAGATGAAACCTGCCAGTCTGACATGTACACCTTACAATTATTCCATATGCCATATATAGTTGACCTAATACTTATAGTACATTGTATCTGAGATACGACTTGACCACCAAACTTTAACATTGATCACTGATCCATGAAATGAGGTTAAGGTCAAGTGAACCCTGTCTGACAGACATGTAGACGTTGCAAGGAAACCATATATCCAATATAGTTATCCTATTAGTATTATTCATAATAAGTGCCATTCACATGACAAAAAAAAACTGTATAAGTTTTTTTTCAAGCAGGCACTGAACAATGAAAATGAGGTCAAGGACAATGAACATATGACAAATGGCAGGGGCAGATCCAGCCATTTATAAAAGGAGGGGGTTCCTAACCCAGGATAAAGGGGGGGGGGGGGGGGGGGGGGGGTTCCAACTATATGTCCCCATTCAAATGCATTGATCGTCAAAAAAAAGGGGGGTTCCAACCCCCCGAACCCCCCCCCCCCCCCTGGATCCGCCACTTAATGGAAACTTCATAACATAAGGTATCTGCATGCAAGGAACATGTATGAAGCATCCAGATCTTCTACCTTCTGAAATAGAAAGCTTCATACAAATAGTTGGATTTTAATCCCTATTTCTCCCATTCTGGGCAAGACAAAAATCATCATTTGAATGAAATAATTTCTATAAGGAGTTGGTTGACAATGTAATCATGTTCAATTGTTGCACTGAACATTTTTGCTTTTTTAAGTTTCTCTCTATCAGCTATATAGTTTTTGACAAAATGCAAAAATGATCTGGTCATTTTAACTTTTAACTGTTTAAAATTTCTCTCTATCTGTTATAGTTTTCAAGATAAAAACCAAATATGTCAAAATTTGCCAAAAAAATGACATTTCAGGAATATCTCCAAAAGGTGTTGTCTGATTTTTCTGAAAAATCCATAGGATATAGACCTTGACCTATAGGTAATTTTTTGCCCAGACAGTTTTACTCTAATCATTTTAGTTTTTTTAAAATAAAAGCAAAAAACTAAGAAATTTTCTAAAATTTGACATTTCATGGGCAAGTAAATTATTTTTACCTGGTCAGTTTTGCTCTTTCAGCTTTAAATCTAGAGCTATTAACAAAAAACTGCATTTTATCCCTATGTTCTATTTGTAGCAATAGTGGCCATGTTTAATGATGAAGCAAATCCCCAGGGATCTACATTTAATAGCTAAAGAACATTCAGGTAAAGTTTAGTTACATTTGTCTCAGCAAATTCAGAGGATGAGATATTTTCATCAGTTTTCGACGACAGACAGATGTCAAAATCAGAGCTAAATATCACTGTAGTAAGTATCAAGATTTTTATGAGGGAACTGATGTTTGCTCTATAGCTACCCAGGCATGGGGTAATGCAAATTTGTAATTGTAATGCATGGTAATGCATTACATTTTTCCAAGTAATTGCATGTAATGTGTAATGCAGCAATTTGTGCATTACATGTAATTGTAATATAATGCATTACTTTAGCAAAAAGATGTGTAATTTCATGCATTACATGACATTACATGTCATTACTTTTTTCACATACTACATCTTTAACATATTGTTGGAGTTTTAACTAAACCAAATTTAAGATTTCTTGATTAACTAAGAATATATTAATCATTAGAATATATTCTTTATTTCATCTTATTTCATACATTTTCCTGCATAAAAAGATTGATATATGAAAAGCATAGCTGTATTGTTGTCATAAGATCAAAGAATATCTTTGTTTTGCTTAAATAAAAGATAATTAAACTTTGTTATAAAACACTAATTAGTTTGTTTAACAATCAATATTTTCACCATTTAGACAATTGTTCATTAATTAAGGTCTATGTTTATTTTATAATTAGGGAAGTAATTCACAGTAACTAAATATTTCGTTTAAAATTAAAAAAAAAAACAACAAAAAATATATTTATAAAAGTAAAGTCAACATTAAGTTAAAATAATTAAAAATTGTAAAAGTCAAATTAAATAGACTTTTTACATGTATACTTATATTCAATTCATGGAACAGTTACTGCGTATGCTAGAATCTATTGTGACTTCTAGTTGTTTTTCAAAATGTTTAATTTTTCTATTCACTAATAAAATTTTCAAATGTAATGTGTAATTCAAGGCATTACTTTGCAAAAGTAATTGTAATATAATGCATTACTTTGATAAATGCATGTAATTGTAATTGTAATATAATGCATGGTTTGGTCAAAGTAATTGTAATATAATGCATTACATTGCAATGTAATTCGCCCCATGCCTGTAGCTACCACAGTTTGATTAAACAGACGTCATCTTCCTATCATACTTATCTTATGTATGACTCATATATACATTGTTTAATACTGCTGGAAAAAGACCAAAAAAAATGTACTAATAGACACATGCTACTTTTTTTCTTTTTTTGAAAGAAGCTGACTATTACTGTCATGATTGAATGTTCTGTCTACTCATTCTAATGTTGTCATACATAATGCAGGAAAAAGTAAGAATACATCAATACAAAATACAAAATACGCTATGCTAGTTTTAATTTTCAAAAATCTGGCATGAAATGAAATTGTTTTCAGTATTCATGATATTAAACCTTGTCAGAAAAATTGTCATTTTTATACCTCTTTAATTTTTTTTTAATCATTAAAAAATGTTTTCTATTCAATCATTACAATAGATTAAGCAGTTAAGAGTTGATCAATTCAATCAACTGGCTCTACTGATTTGTTTTGTTAACATCATGGCTTTGCAATTTTTTTTATTGAGTTGACAGTTTAAGTCAAGCTTGACCAATCAAATAAACATGTATATTAGCTGTTACGACTGAGGCTTTACAATAGTTGATTGATTTGACATTTGATGTCAATTGTGATCAATTGTTATGATAAAGGCTATGCAACTTTTAGAAATGCGTTGATAATTGATGTTCAATTGAATCTACATTTATAGCATTATGGTTGAGGATTTGAAATTTTTATTGAATTGATTATGTTGACAGTTGCTGTTTAATCCTGAATAAGACAATCTATAGATACTATCAAGGGGTACACAGATTAAAAGCAATTTCCCAAAACACTCCTGAAAACTCCAGAAGAACCCAAGAACCAATAGATATTACCTGAAACCTCTATATTAAATGGCGTAATACTGATTTTATTGACAATAGAGACTATAACTTTGATATATTTCATTTCTATTTAATGAAAGTAAAATTTACGACAACTAAACGTACTAAAAAGAATAGGCACTCATCTCACCAGACTTTCTAAACTTACAATATACCACTCATTTATCTTGTCAAACCTCAGCTATTGTCCTCTCACATGGCACTTCTGCAGTGAACAAAACACAAAGAAAATAGAAAAAATACAAGAAAGAGCACTCAGATTCATTTATGATGACTACAAAAATTCTTACGATACACTCCTTGAACAGTCTAAGCTACCAGCACTAAAAATCAGAAGAATGAGAACCATGGCATAAGAGACTTATAAAATAATTAATAAATCAAGTCCAGAATTCCTACATAATTTAATAAACATTAAAGAAAATTCATATAACTTCAGGTACAAAGGCATAGCGGATATACCACGGCCAAAAACAACAAGGAATGGGGAGAAAAGCTTTAGTTATGAGGCAGCAAGACTCTAGAACTCCTTGCCAAATGAGGCAAGGAGCTTATCAACTTTTGGCCAGTTCAAAAATTTTATCTCCACCAGGTGTTTTTCAGAAAGTTGTACCTGCAGTTCTTGTAAGTAATGTAACTCCTTGCTGCCACATGACTTGATCTTGAAGCCTACTGTTTGTTTTATGTTTTTATTTTTTGTAGTTATTTTTATTTATTTGCTTTGCTTATGCATTACCTGTGCTGTAGCTGCTTGCAGTCTTTTGCTTGTGCTTTATAGTGTTTAATTTTGCATGTGCTACTTGGATACACATATTGTGTGTTACTATGTGCTGATATTTGACATTTGTTTTAATATATATCTTGCTTAGCTTTTATTTTGCATGTGCTATCTATGTATTAACATGATTAATACATGTATGTGCTGTCTGTATGTTTGTGTTGTATATGAATCTGATGTTACTACATGTATGCAGTTCTGCCAACTTTTAATAATGCAAATGCGTGAGATTTGGCCAAAATCGTAAAGATCAAAGAGAAAAAACAATAGATCAAAGGAAAATGCCGCCAAATAAGCATGAAAATGTGTGAGACTTGGCAGCCCTGTGTATGTTTTGTTTATTAATATCAGTCGGTTAAAGAGCTCTTAATAAAGACAGTCTTCACGCTTAACCACAAGTCCTACAGCATTGGCTTGTACAATTGCTTTCTGACTTGTAAAATTCTTCTCTACAAGCCAACAGAATCCAACTAAAATTTTAAAAAAATTGAGCTTCTGCAAGTTCTGGCTTGTGGAATCAAAAGTTAAGCGTGAAGGCTGTAAAGAGCTCTTAAGAGCTCATGTTCCTTGTTATTATGTATATATGAAACCCGACTTTAAATAAAGATTACTTTACTTTACTTTACATTCAGGAATTTGATTTGTGTCTCTTGTATGACATTGACAAATTATATGACAAACGTAATTATTTGAAAGGTAGAAGGTTCAGCATTGATAGTAGAAGAAGGCCCTATATTAATACATTGAGAGTCAACCTTCCTATTGAAAGAAACAACTGACTGAACAGGTGACTGTGCTACCTTAGTCCAAATAATAAGGGGACCTTTGTCCCCTATTACGGTAGAAAAATCAATAAAAGAAAAAAAAAAAAAAAAAATCGGGAAAATTTCCCGAAATTTTCATTCTACTAATGAACTCAAAATCGTTAACTTTTTTTTAACTTTTTTATTTTCAGACTTTTTTATTTTCCCGCATTTGCGCAGAAATCTACTTCCTTTTACCGGTCTCGTTTGCATGAGTCTTTGAGTAAAATATATATTTATCAGTCTAGTAAAATATACAAAAGGAACGCAATACCAATTCCATTTTTAATAATTCATTGAATGGCTTGATATGAAAAAACGTTACCCGATAGCGTTTCTTTGTTAACATCAGAGACATATAATACAATTATATGTCTCTGTTTACATTGAATATGACGTCATAACATAAATAACGTCACAACTAAAATTCCCAACAACAGAACAGAAATCGGAAACGTAAGGGTATTTCCGTTTCTTTTTGAACAGATTTTGAAGTTAAAATATGTTTGAATTAAAAAAAAATAATTCATACAGACTTCGTCCCCTTTCACAGGTAACGCCTGCCTCATATTAAGTACCTTACATATATAAAAAAAACTTAAAATGGTGAATGTTACTGTTGTCACCAGTGTAACCATTCTCCTGTAGCAGTTACAAATTCTGACATGTTGATTTAAGGACACATTTCTGGACATATATGCATATTAATGACGTCTTGAAAGGCTATTTTGCTAGTGGCAATGCTACCTCAGCTGTCTATGTAAACCTTTTAAAAAAAAGTAAAGATTAAATAAATAGAAAAGAGCAAAAATTGTAATTAAATCTAGCTGACAGATTTTTGGGTCTTTGCTTTATACATCAATCTTCACCTTTTGTGATTTTCAGAATATATTTTTTTAGATGTTCTTCAATCCAAAACTGAAATGACCTTGTCCCTGTCGACAGGAAGTTAGTGCAAAGTTCTAATCACACTATACTTTCCGGTTAGTTAAAATTCCGGGAATTAAAAACTGTTCTGTTTGTTGTTTTTTTTTCATTTTCAAGTTAAAAAGACATAATGGCAGCTAAAGAAAAACTTCTCAGTATTGAATATCCAGGATTTGATCAAAGATCAGAAAATTCAGAATCATTCCTAAGTAATTTAATGGACGATGTGGAAAAGAGGGTTGAAAAATTGAGAGAACAAGCTATCGCAATGGAACAAGAAAGAGAAGCAATACTAGCAACCCTCCAAAAAATACAGGACAATGATCTAAACCTCGAAATTTCAACTGGTAAACAACAACTTTTGTATCTATAAGAAGTTGATGTATGGGTGACAAAAAAAAACTCTACTTGGGACCATACATGACATAATATGTAACATGTATTCACCACAAGATAATGACAATAAAAAATGAACATCAGTCATCTTTCAGAATGACAATAAAAAATGAACATCTTTCACATTCACCTCAAGAGAAGTTTACTTTCTATTATAATATCAATTTAAATACTTGTCGCTACAAGGTTTATCTTGAACTTCATGTATATTTGTATATATGAATTCCTCATTCATTTTGCCAGGACAGAAGTATATCGTCACCCGTTTTTCCCAGACACCATCAGATTCTGGAATGCCACAAATGATGAGTTGCACAACCGTTGAATCATTCATTTAGCTTCAATAGATGTTCAACCTTGTTTTTTAATGTTTTTTTTTTAAGAAGCACAGTTTAATTCACTGTACATGCTGTAGATGATTTAAACATACCTGCACATTTGCTGTTCTCACATTGAACATGTACATAAAACAGTACAATAATACTCCCATGAGAGGACTGTACTCTTGAAAGCGAAGAAGAAAAAGAATTGTTGCAATCAATTTTATAGACATGCTAAGGCATATGTCATTATATAATTGAACAAAGTTGAAAAATGTCCCAAGAAAATAAACCACATCTATATTGATCATGTCGATAAAGTTAACAACAAATAACATTTTGTTGGTTGCTGTCTGATAAAGTTGTCAATTGATAGTTACGCCCCCATTAAAACCTGAATGATGATGCTGTGGTTTTGTTTATTTGTTAATTAACAACCATTTAAGGAAGTCATATCAAGCAGTGAGTTAATTCACGAATTGGACATTTCTGCATATCTTGCATACAATTATGCAACTGGATTTTGTTGCAATAAAATTATATGTTAAATTTTATTTGATGACCCTGACTAGAGGAGGGTGTTGCAAGTGCCCCCTGCGCCACAGGTAAACCACTGGTATTGAAAATATTGTCAATGAAACTACTAAAATAACATCCCCAACAGCAACTCTTATGTATACCCCATATGCATATATATATATATATATATATGAATAATCTTGGTAAACTAGGTAAGAAATTGTCCAAAAATATGGAGAAGATACAAAATGGACAATAAAAAAACCACAAGTCATATAAAAAAGGCAAAGACAAATGACAAAAAGATAAACAACAGTCCGGCAATCACTACACAAAAAAAAAAGCTACCAAAAAAGTGAAGGTTGATCATGAGCAACATTTCATGAAATGAATTAGATCAATGATCTAACTTCAAAAATATTTATGACATATCATGGCAATACATGTACAAATGAATGTACTTAAAAAATGTACTGGTTTGACAAAGGGACAAACCCTTTATCACAATCAACAGTCAGGGGTACAACTTCTTCAAGTAATCTTTTATCTTTATATACTTGAAGGTGTAAGAAATATTTACTTGTACTGGTAGAGAAAGTTACCATCAGAAATTCACAGTTTTTCTCAAATAATTTTTAACAGGAACTCTTAGGGGAATTCTTTTAACATATAAATGGTTACCAAAATTTAGGTTTAACACTATAGACTTGAACTTTGATTCCTCTTATAAACAACAAAAAACACGCTACTACTAAATGTATGCTAATATTTGTGAGAAACTTTCATATAGGTACAATGACCAGTGACAGTCACTTTTGACTATTGTCATGTTAAAATGATAGAATTTACACTTAATCAGAACATTAATGATGTATTTTGCTTGCATGTAGCAAGAAGAGAACACGACAATATACTGACCATTAAGTTGGAAAATTTGGAAGGTTCCCTTACTCAGTTACTGTTCAGAATGTGAACTTTCTGTTGCTTGAAATTAAAGTCTTACACTGCATTGAAGAGACATATAGACTTCAATTTTGAAATTTCTTAATCTTTTTTAATTCTTTTGAAAGAAATTGTAAATTCTAAAGCAGTGTTAGGTATAAGTTTGTCTTAAAACAATAAGTTTTCGGAAAATAAGGACGTCATAAAGTGATGACGTCATGTCCCCACACATGTACATTGTGTACCATAAAAAGTAACCAAAGCATTTATTAATTTGGTCTTTTAAGGGACATATCTCCAGGAAACTTGGGAATAAATAGGTAGAGTTATTTTCCAAAGTTTTGGTCAGTTTTCATTTGAATCGCAATTTTATTGTTACTTTCTGTTAAAGAGTATCTGATCTATAGACATTGTGCATTCATAATTTATATGGTTGATGGCTCTGATATTGACCAATGTTAATATACTAAATATACATGTACACTATGATGTTTATTGTTGTAATAATCAAATATGTCAATCAATTGTAACTGATTTTTATGCCCTTTATGGGCCCTGTAATTTGGGAAATAAAAAATAGTCTATTCTATTCTGTTCTATTCTATAGACACCTGTATACATGTACCATTTGATAGATCTTTTTTTAAGTTTTTCCAAGATTAATAACAATTAATAGCTCTCATTAATGTGTCTAAAAGATCACTTGAATTTTATATCCAAAGAGTGTTGTAATTTAGAGACTTTGGCATTATAACCCTATCTATGTGAAATTATTGTTTAATTTAAGAGTTGAAATGTCAGTCCACCATTGTCTGTCCACATGAGAAAATTCTTGATTTGTTGAGGAAAAATTCTGTAACTGACATGGTTGAGAATATTGAAATCAAATATTGACCATTTCAGAAAATATAACCCAATTTTTAAATTAGCTATTTTCATAACTAGGGCTTTAACTGAAAATTTTTATTGTTTTCAATGTTGCATCCCTGACTACTAAGGGAGATAACTCTGCCTTTTTTGTTTACCTTGTAAATGAAATTACTTGTACAAGTATAATACCCTGAAAACTAAAAGGCATATATTTTTTCAAATAAAGTCAGTCAGACTAGAAGAAATGAAACAATTGATCTTGCAAAAGAAGTTAAAGTAACAACAATTATCAACTTACACTATCCCATAGTCTATAAATCAAATATCTTGAGTATTTTTAATTGTAAATTCTACTTCTATAAATCATTTTTTAAATTGAGTAACATTCACAGTGTGCAAAGTAAAGCAATCCTGGATAGCTTCTCAGTGAAAAAATTACCTAGCTATACATCTCACTAGACACTACTTAGAAAATAATTATGATTGTCAGATATTGTGCTGCTGCATTTTATGGCACAGTATAATTTGCTACCTCGTGGGTCATAATATGTTCAATATGTTTCATCTTCATTAAGACAAAGAACACAATCCTTAGGATGAAAATTTGGCTTCACTCAGGAATCTTTTCATTAATTTGAATAAAAGAAGTTGGGCATATACCAATAAGACAGAACCCAATTACACAAAAAAAACAAACAGTCAAAATATAGTTTTCAACAAAAGACGTGTCAATACAATATGCCAAGCTATAAATTGTCAGAGATTGTTAATACTATTGTTTTGTTCGAATAGTACAAAGACCTGTGATATCAGAGTCGTATTGTTCAATACTTTGAATATATATCTTTCATTCAAACTGATATATTTTTCAGACGAAAAGGAAGAAATAGAGGCAAATGCAGAAAGACTTATCTGTAGATGTCTTACAATTGAAGTCAGTATAACAACTCCAAGAAATGACCTTCAGGAAAATGCTCTTCAAAAAATAAATGAAATTTTACAAAATTTAAAAGTACAGATGAAGTCAGGAAAACAGTCAGCCATTGAAACAGCAAAATCCTATTTAAATGCATGTTCAGAAGATGGAGGAACAGTTGTAGATTATAGATTTCAGGGAATTATTTTAGAATGTACTGCTGATGATCAAAAAATGGTTCGCAAAAAATTAAAAGAAATGATCACTCATTATTGTAACTTTCCTGAGAGAAATGGCATTTTGTAATTATTGTTATTTAGTAACTCCATTGTTATACTTTTTCGATTGTTGAAAATAAAATGAAAAAATCCTTTTTATGCTTGCATTATATTATGGAATATTTATAAGGAATTGACATTTCCAGTTTTCTGCCTTAGGTCTATGGTCTTGAGTATCAAGTCAACATGAAAAGAGACTATCATAAGGAAATTGTGACCACAAAGATTGTAGAATTTTTTACATGTTTAGGGAGCTACCATTTGATTTTTATGGGGGGGGCTAGGATAAAAAGTTTTGTCCTGCATTTTTTTTTAGTTGTAATCTCTGTCCTGCCTTTTTATTTTTCACTCTATTCGGTCCTTCCTTTTTTTTTTAAAGTTTATCCTGACTTTTTTTTACCTAAATTGTCATCCTGACTTTTTTTTTTTGCAAGTGTCTCATCCTGCCTTTTTTTTTATTCAAAACTCCTGTCCTGCCTATTTTTTTCAAATTTCATCCTAGCCCCCCCATAAAAATCAAATGGTAGCTCCCTTACTTTGCATTGCTTTGGACTACATAATAAAGAGTTTTTATGATGGTATGATACTAAAAGCCTAACATGAGGGATTGTGCTTGATTTTCATATGATGAAGACATAACTTTCAATCAGTTTAATGAGGTCTGTAGCTGGCATGTCAGTAACTGCTAGTAGTCCTTTGTTAATTTATGTATCATTGTTTTACTGTGCATATTGTTGTGTGTTTGTTTATTCTACATTGGCTAAAGGTATAGAGGGAGGGTTGAGATCTCACAAAACATGTTTAATCCCGCCCCATTTTTGCGCCCGTCTCAAGTCAGGAGCCTCTGGCCTTTGTTAGTCTTGTATGTTTTTTTAATTTTAGTTCATTTATATGTTTTGGAGTTTAGTATGACGTCCATTTTGACTGAACTAGTACACATTTTTGTTAAGGGGCCAGCTAAAGCCTGCCTCCAGGTGTTGGATTTTGTCGCTGTGTTGAAGACCCATTGGTGGCCTTCGGCTGTTTTCTGCTCTTCAGTCGGGTTGTTGTCTCTTTGACACATTCCCCATTTCCATTCTCAATTTTATTTTGAGCAAGTTTCAATAAAGTTGAAAGTTGGGGCTGTTAAGGTATTCAGTGTCATTTTGTGCCTCAGCATCTGGACCCACGAGTAGAGATATTTTGTGCCTCAGCATCTGGACCCATGACAAGAGATATTTTGTGCCTCAGCATCTGGACCCATTAGTAAAGATGTTTTGTGCCTCAGCATCTGGACCCATGAGTAGAGATATTTTGTGCCTCAGCATCTGGACCCATGAGTAAAGATGTTTTGTGCCTCAGCATCTGGACCCATGAGTAGAGATGTTTTGTGCCTCAGCATCTGTCCCCATGAGTAGATATGTTTTGTGCCTCAGCATCTGGACCCATGAGTAGAGATGTTTTGTGCCTCAGCATCTGGCCCCATGAGTAGAGATGTTTTGTGCCTCAGCATCTGGACCCATGAGTAGAGATGTTTTGTGCCTCAGCATCTGGACCCATGAGTAGAGATATTTTGTGCCTCAGCATCTGGACCCATGAGTAGAGATGTTTTGTGCCTCAGCATCTGGACCCATGAGTCGAGATATTTTGTTCCTCAGCATCTGGACCCATGAGTAGAGATATTTTGTGCCTCAGCATCTGGACCCATGAGTAGAGATGTTTTGTGCCTCAGCGCCTGGACCCATGAGTAGAGATATTATGTGCCTCAGCGCCTGGACCCATGAGTAGAGATGTTTTACATGCATATGTATTTTGTATTGAAGTTGCATTCATTAAGGAAACAGTATTTATATAACCGGTATCAGGGACATCAATGTTTTAAAAATTTTGGTTAAGTGAGGTAAAGTTTAAACCTCATGGTAAGTTCAGGTGCAAAGATGGAAGTATAATGTAGACGTGCATTAAAGGTTATGTGGATTGTAGCGGAAATTTTAGTATAGAGAAGTTCAATTGTAGAAAGTAAAACAAGATTACTTTAAAATATGTTTATACCCCTAGAGTGAGAGGGGCTACATTTCATCTGTCTTGTCTGTCCCTTTGTCTGTCTGGTTGTCCAACTTTATATATTTTGGTCACACTGTCTCAGGTATTACATAATGGAAAGAGCTCATATTTGGTCAGCAGCCTAAATGTGATGAGTTGTAATTGGGGACCCTTTTCTGATCTGCCAAATTCTTAATTCCTTTTGGTGATACTTTTAATTTTTAAAATGTTGAATTAACTTAATTCACATCCAATATTTTATGGTAATATTCTTTACAAAGCACAAAAATGTCGGCATTCAACTCAAAAGCTAACCAAAGCTTTAAACAGACTTATTCGGAAAGGATATAGTTACGATACTGTTGTCAAGTCATTAAGGATTGCATATTTTGGTATTAATATTGATTCACTCATAGGGTCTTTGCATCGGAAATAAACACATATATTCTAAAACCAGTTGTTGGCATGATACAGGTTATGTTCTTCTCATATATTTTATGATGGTATGATACTAAACCCCTAACGGGAGGGATTGTACTTGATTTTCATATGATGAAGACATAATCTTTCAATCAGTTTAATTGAGGTCTGGAGCTGGCATGTCAGTTACTGCTAGTAGTCCTTTGTTCATTTATGTATCATTGTCATTTTGCTTACTTTCTTTTGTTACCTATTCTGACATCGTATTCGGATTACATTTAAACTGAGTTTTACTGTGCGTATTGCTATGTGTTTCTTCATTCTACATTGGCTAGAGGTATAGGGGAGGGTTGAGATCTCATAAAACATGTTTAACCCCGCCGCATTTTTGCGCCTGTCCCTCTGGCCTTTGTTAGTCTTGTATGTTTTTTAATTTTAGTTCATTTATTTGTTTTGGAGTTTAGTGTGACGTCCATTTTCACTGAACTAGTACACAATTTTATTTACGGGCCAGCTGATGACCACCTCAGGGTGCAGGATTTTCTCACTGCATTGAAGACCCATTGGTGGCCTTCGGCTGTAAATGTCTCTTTGACATATTCCCCATTTCCATTCTCAATTTTATTAATATTATCTTCACAAATATCTGCTAAAATGAAAACAAGAGTGCACACATGGAAATGTCTCCCCTGCTTTACTGACCATTGATTTCATGTTGAAAGTCTTAAAGATAAAGGTTTTACTACAAGTATCACATAAGCTTAACATTTTTAAAGACCCATGACAATGAGGCCAAGGTCAGATAAATCCTGTCATACAGACATGTACATCTTACAATTATTTCATACACCAAATATAGTTGCTCTATTGCTTATGGTAATTGAAAAACAGACAAAAAAACAGAACTTAAAAATGACCAATGAACCATTAAAATGAGGTCAAGTTCAGATGATACCTGGAAGACCGACATGTACACCTAACAATCATTCTATACACCAAGTATAGCTGACCAAGTGCTATTAGTATTTGATAAACAGACCAATGCACAAAAAACTTAACATTGACCAATGAACCATGAAAATGAGGTCAAGGTCAGATGAAACATGCCATACCCCTTACAAACATCCATACACCACATTTAGTTGAAAATAGGACTTTTAGCTTAAGGAAATCAGCATTCTAACGAAAGTAATTTAACCCCTTCACCCCAATCACAACTATAGTCGTGAATGCAACCTCCATTCTTTATTAGCCCATATGACCCTCCATACATTTTTAGAACTGCCCTAGCTGAACTGTGTTAATAGCAGGAAGTTAAATCTTGCAAATAATGGTCCATAAACTCTTTCCAGATGAGTTGATATGAAAATATGAAAACCTTAATTTCCTTCTTTAAAAAATCGGAAAACTGTTAAAAGTAGCCAAAATCAGGTGGGGTAGGGAGTCATTTGATGGCAACTACCTTACTGGTATGGGCAGTAGGTATTAACTATTATCCTGAATGCATGCATATGTTTTTCAGGAATACAAGGAGTTATAATATGGCCCAAAAAATCTGGTCTGTTAAAACAAGAGTGCACACGCTGAAATGTCTCGCCTTCTTTACTAATCATTGATATTATGTTGATAGTCCTAAATATAAAGCTTTATTACAACTGTCAGATAAACTTAACATTAACCAAGTAAACTAAACATTGACCAATGAACCATGAAAATGAGGTCAAGGTCCGATGAACCATGCTAGGCAGGCATGTACAGCTAACAATTCTTCCATACAACAAATATAGTTGACCTATTGCTTATAGTTTAAGAAAAACAGACCAAAACACAAAAACTTAACACTGAGCAATGAACCTTGAAAATGAGGTCAAGGTCAAATAAAACCTGCGTAACTGACATATAGATCATAAAATATTTCCATACACCAAATATAGTTGAACTATTGCATATAGTATTAGAAAAAAAGACCAAAACTCAAAAACTTAACTTTAACCACTGAACCATGAAAATGAAGTCAAGGTAAGATGACACCTGCCAGCTAGACATGTACACCTTACAATCATTCCATACACCAAATATAGCTGACCTATTGCATGCAGTATTAGAAAGAAAGACCAAAACTCAAAAACTTAACTTTGACCACTGAACCATGAAAATGAGGTCAAGGTCAGATGACACCTGCCAGCTAGACATGTACACCTTACAATCATTCCATACACCAAATATAGTAGACCTATTGCATACAGTATAAGAAAAACAGACCAAAACACAAAAACTTAACTATAACCACTGAACCATGAAAATGAGGTCAAGGTCAGATGACACCTGCCAGTTGGACATGTACACCTTACAGTCCTTCCATACACCGAATATACTAGACCTATTGCTTATAGTATCTGAGATATGGACTTGACCACCAAAACTTAACCTTGTTCACTAATCCATGAAATGAGGTCGAGGTCAAGTGAAAACTGTCTGACGGGCATGAGGACCTTGGAAGGTACACACATACCAAATATAGTTATCCTATTACTTATAATAAGAGAGAATTTAACATTACAAAAAATCTGAACTTTTTTTTCAAGTAGTCACTGAACCATGAAAATGAGGTCAAGGACATTGGACATGTGACTGACGGAAACTTCGTAACAAGAGGCATCCATATACAAAGTATGAAGCATCCAGGTCTTCCATCTTCTAAAATATAAAGCTTTTAAGAAGTTAGCTAACGCCGCCGCCGCCGCCGCCGCCGTAGCCGCCGCCGCCGCCGCCGCCGCCGGATCGCTATCCCTATGTCGAGCTTTCTGCGACAAAAGTCGCAGGCTCGACAACTAGATCACTGTTTTGTCAGAAATCTGTAAAAACAGACATTTTGGCAGACCTGGCTTTCCTATTATAATTCCCAAGCAAGACAATCAAGTCACATTTACTTCCAGTCAGCATGTAGATGTTGCTGTAACTTCAAGGTAATAATTGAATGACAAAGAAACACAGTTTGGTCAATGTCTACCTCTCAAGTTCGTATCAAAATTAAAAATAGACTGAAAATTACCATTTTTCAGCTCGGGTGGGTGTGATATGCCAATGTATTTATATTTTTATATTATATTCATCAAAGCTTGTTTTATTTCTGTAATTAAAACATATCCCCTGACAAATTATGACACTATTTATTAAGACATTTTTGCCTGCTTTAGTCTGTAAGGAGTTGATATTTCCTCCCAATTGTCTTCAATGCACATGTGTACCTTTGTGAAGAAAAGTGCTTCTAGAAAAGAATTCCACTCAGATTAATGTTGAAGCGAGCTTTCAATATCATCTATTCATGTGGGATATTTCACGTCATACACCATATCCCTTCTTTTCTGTTATACAAGGTTAAATTTGTTTCTGACTGACATTGAAAGTAAAGAATTATATTATTAAAACTTGGTATAAATGTTTACTGCCACTTGTGTCCAATACTATTCATGACATGATCTCTGGTGGAGTATTATTTCAAAAACAGTTGATCTTTAGGGTGTCCAGAATAAGTTTGTGAATTTAAATTCTGTCATAAAATATAGGGGTAAAATCAACAGAAAATACACTAAAATATTCATTAATAAAATGCTCCGCTGGGCGCAGCTTGATACGACCACAGAGGTCGAACCCTGAACAGTTGGGGCAAGTATGGACACAACATTCAAGCTTGATACAGCTCTGAATTTGGATTGTGATTAAATATTTGACACAGCATAGGTTTCTGACACAGAATGAATGTGGTCTAAGAACTTAAAAATTTTCCTATTATGGTCCAATATCCAAAATCTAAATACATACACAGTTAGATTCAGCATATCAAATTTACCCCAAGAGTTCAATTTTTTTAAAAATCAAACTAAGTTTAATTTTGGACCCTTTGGACCTTAATGTAGACCAATTTGAAAACTGGACCAAAAATTAAGAATCTAAATACACAGTTAGATTCAGTATATCAAAGAACCCCAATATCTCAATTTTTGATGAAATCAAACCATATCATTATTATTTGCTTTTATATTTAAATAAAAGATAACCAACTTAAAATGTAAAATTTTAAAGAAAAAAAAAAAGGAATAAAAGGGAAAAAAAATCCCCCCCCCCAATTTTTTGAACCCCTTATCATTCATCTACCCCAAACTCAATCCCAGCCTTCCTTTTGTGGTATGGTACCTTGCAGTACAATTTCAGAGAGATCCATACACTTGAACAAAGGTTATTGTCTGGAAACTGTAAAAATGCTTGTTTTTTGGCCCCTTTTTGGCACCCAATTCCTAAACGTTTAGGGCAATTACCCCCAAACTCAAACCCAGCTTTCCCTTTGTGATATGGAACCTTGTAGTACAATTTCATAAAGATCCATACACTTACACACAAGTTATTGTCCTGAAACTAGAAAAATACTTGTTTTTTGCCCCTTTTTGGCCCTTAATTCCTAAAATTTTGAGGCAATTACCCCCAAAATCAATCCCAGCCTTCCCTTTGTGGTATGGGACCTTGCAGTACAATTTCAGAGAGATCCATACACTTAAACACAAGTTATTGTCTGGAAACTGTAAAAATGCTTGTTTTTTGGCCCCTTTTTGGCCCCAAATTCCTAAACGTTTAGGGCAATTACCCCCAAACTCAAACCCAGCTTTCCCTTTGTGATATGGAACCTTGTAGTACAATTTCATAAAGATCCATACACTTACACACAAGTTATTGTCCTGAAACTAGAAAAATGCTTGTTTTTTGCCCCTTTTTGGCCCCATATTCCTTAACGTTTAGGGCAATTACTCCCAAACTCAAACCCAGCTTTCCCTTTGTGATATGGAACCTTGTAGTACCATTTCATAAAGATCCATACACTTACACACAAGTTATTGTCTGGAAACTAGAAAAATGCTTGTTTTTTGGCCCCTTTTTTGCCCCTAATTCCTACAATTTTGAGGCAATTACCCCCAAAATCAATCCCAGCATTCCCTTTGTGGTATGGTACCTTGCAGTACAATTTCAGAGAGATCCATACACTTGAACACAAGTTATTATCTGGAAACTAGAAAAATGCTTATTTTTGGCCCCTTTTTGGCCCCTTATTCCTAAATGTTTTGGGCAATTACCCCCAATTTCAATTCCAGCTTTCCCTTTGTGATATGGAACCTTGTAGTACAATTTCAGAAAGATCCATACACTTACACACAAGTTATTGTCAAGAAACTAGAACAATGCTTGTTTTTTGCCCCCTTTTTTGCCCCTAATTCCTAAAATTTTGAGGCAATTACCCCCAAAATCAATCCCAGCATTCCCTTTGTGATATGGAACCTTGTGGTACAATGTCACAGAGATCGATACACTAACACACAAGTTATTGTATGGAAGTTGCAAAAATGCTTATTTTTGGCCCCTTTTTGGCCCCCAATTTCTCAACTGTTGGTACCATAACCCCCAAAATCAATCCCAACCTTCCTTTTGTGGTATTAAACCTTATGGTAAAATTTCATAGAGATCCATTCACTTAAACTAAAGTTATTGTGCGAAAAACCAATGTGTCTTAGGACGACAACGACGAGGACAACGATGACGACGCCAACGTCATACCAATATACGACCGCAGAAAATAAAAATCACTAAATAAATATGCAATGGAAACAAGAATGCACACATTGTCATTCTAAACATACTGATGAAATATGAAGTTATTTAAGTTTAGTAGTACTGGCGAAATGTTTTAAGTTCATTAAATATACATTTATATGTATTGAAGTTTAGTGTGGCATCCATTTGCTGAACTAGTATACATTATTGTTTAGGGGCCAGCTGATCCCTGCCTCCGAGTGTGGGATATTTTTCGCTGCGTTGAAGACCCATTGGTGGCCTTGGGCTGCTCATTGTTTGGGTTGTTGTCTCTTTGACACATTCCCCGTTTCCATTCTCAATTCTGTGTAAAAGCAGAAATTTTTGTTGGGTTTTTAATTTCAATTATTTCATAGATAGATATTATCCACAAAATTAAAACCCCTAAAGAAATTTTAACCTACAAAGAATATTACTTTCACTTACTGGAATCCACAAAAATTATATCCCAATAGCATCAAATTTTGAGGCAAATCCTTAAAATTTTAACTATGAAAATTAATGTTTCTGCAGTATAGAAAAATTCATAGTATAGCCTAGCTAACAGGAAGTAGGTGTCTGGCAGATTCGAAAAGTGCTCACATATTAATACTCATAACTATTAAGCTGCAGACCAAATATGAGGTCAACTGTTCAGTAAAACCGAAGAAATGTGTGAGGGAAATAATTGTTGGACTAACAGACGGACAGACAAGGTGAATATAGTTATGATTTATGAGCCAAGGCTCTGTGTTGAAGGCCATACTTTGACCTATAATTGTTAACTTTTTATACATTGCGACTTGGATGGAGAGTTGTCTCATTGGCACTCATACACATCTTCATATTTATTATGACCCCAAGAACCATTAAACATGGCTGCCACAGTAACAAAAAAGAAAATTACACTAATTTTTACTTAAATGTCTTCTTCTATGAAACTGACTGTATAAGAAAAAACCTGGCAGAAATGTTCATTGCATAACTCTTGTAAATACTGTGACTTTATTTCTGATTGGAAATCAAATATTGCTGCCATCATGGATCATATAGATTTGTTGTATTAAAACATAACATTCAGAATCAAACATCTGCATCAGTAAATTTAACATCTCTGCAGTACTTGGCTAAATTAAATTAAAGAGTCAGGAATGATTACACTGGACTATAAAATTTCAATTCTAATCAGATCTTCAACATGTCCAGCATCACATATTGTCATGGTTTTCCATAAAACTCTATTTCTGCTTTTTGAGCAAACAAATCCAGGTGAGCAATTTAAACTCCTTGGAGCATCTAGTTATTCGAGGCAGATGGAATTTAAACACATACCATCAACATATCTGTATAGTTAAAATTCATTACTTGTTGTTGATTGATTTGTGTTTAACGCCACTTTCAGCACTAATGGGCTATTTCGTGGCGGTCAGTTTTTCATTACTTGGTATACTCTGTGTTGTAAAATCATAGTTAAATTTTTTTCACGCTGTTTCCATGAAAATAAGTTGACTTCTAGTATATCATCAGGAAATCTCCATCCAATATGAAAGGAATAAAATAACATCTGTTCTTTGCAAATTATTTAATGTATATATGAACATGTAAATCACTCATTAACATGTACTTTAGAAGTACAGTAACTGTTCTAGTACAAATAAAAAATTAACAGATCTATTATTGTCACACAGATCTGTACATGATATAAAAACTTATGACTATGAAAAATTTGTGTAAAAAACTTTTTGAAACATGTTATAAATTATATAAAATATAGAGACAGCATTTTTTTTTAACTAAACCCTGTGTAAAACAAGAGAATATCAAACAACCTGGTCCATTTTTAAAAAGATTTGATATGTGTATTAATATAAAACAGATTCCATTTCTATCTGTACAACTGATAAACCTGTAGACAGAAAAAATAACTTCACATTTCATAGATGAAAATTATATCACAAAGACATATGATCTCTTTTCCTCGAAATTGCTTATGCAGCCACTTTTTTTAACAAGAATAAATATGAATTCAGGGAACATCCACCATTTTCTTTTTCTAACAGGTCTGTGTCAGCAATCTGACGTTGTTTTGTTGCAAAGGTTTCAGAACTTAACTTCAAAAGTAGTACACCACCTTTGAAATTAAATTGCCTGATATAAACATTAAGTTAACTTTAATATTGTAGGTCTTATCCTCTAATATAATTTTTCCTATAACGAAATTGAGTGATCAAATTCCAATATACATAAAAATGTTCAAGTCATGACCTCTTGTAGGTATTGAAATGATATTCCCAATAGGAAAATATTGTATGCCCCTGTTACTGTTCTCCATATGAAGATAAAGCATACCACTCAAGCCTACAGATAAATACACCACAATATAAAACAATTGATATCAAATGCAATACTCTACATGCTATAGCACCAGTCAAAATCAAATTATACATCTATTTTTATTTCAGCAGTTTAATCTATTAATTCTCCTCTCCAACAGAATATAGAAACTAGGAGTTGTGGTATGATTATTTCTATTCTTGAACCTATAAAAACAGATAACAAAGCACACATACTAGTTCGATTGCTTGCTTTATATCTTTTCATTTTCTCTTTCTATAAGAATATCTGTACTACCAATACTAGATATTAGTCCTTATATTTTATCTTGGAATGCTTTTTTCAAATATTTTCGAGGAAGCCTTCCAACAACATCAAAAGATAAAAGCTATTTTTTTCTTTTTGGTTCATTTCAAAACATTTGGTTTAATTTTTTCTGCTTGATACAACCATTAAAACTGATTGGGAATCAGAAAATGTAATACTTTATTTTTGTGTATTGACTTTTATGATTCCTTCTAAATGAGACCAGTGGAGTGGGAGTAGACATGTTTGGCCTGAATCAAATGATTATTATGGAATATGTTATTCCAGTATGAGATCAAGGTCTCACAACATTTGCAACTTTGATACACAAATTAAAGGTTACCCATCACATACAGAAAAGCTCACTTAATAACAAAAACACAATTTTGATTAAATTCAATGAAAATTAGGTAACAGTTGGATTACCACTGTCAGACAGACCTCTAAATGATTTCATAGAATATGACCTATGATTTACACAGAAAAGATCACTGTTTATGAAAGATTATGTCAATATTCAGTAAATGATGCCATGATTGTTTTTTCCTCAACAAGGAAATTTTAACTATTTTCATACCTCCCCTTTTTGTTTAAAAGTTTCAAAGAAAAAAATCTAAAATACTGTACAGAATCATGCAAAGAAAACTACTGAAAAAAAATAGAAATCGAAAAAAGTGAAAAAAGTATACACAGCTATATTTGTTAAGTCACAGGACAGAATCAGCTTTGTAAAAGAAAAGGACAAACAGCCAATAACTTAAAAATAAACATCATATAATCTTGATAGTTTTGCTAAAATTTAGATTATTACCACCCTATAGTGCAACTTTCTGTGGAAACTCTTCAGTCATGAGAATCTAGCTGGAGCACTGAAAACAGACAAGTTTTCTGATATAATTTTTCATCTGTCACATGTGTTGTACTGGTGAATATGATATTACATGTGTTTCTAAAAGGAAATCTTATTAAAATTTGTTCAAAAATAAAGTGAAATTCATTAAGTCCTTAATGTTGGTAATTCAGAATAATATAATATTTTAGTTGATTTTACTGGATAAAAATAACATATATTCCACCTGATTTGAGTTTCTAACTCAATATATTACATATAAAACTTTACCCCAAATTAATTCTGCCAAACGTTTTGGTCATGTCAACTAAGCTAAATGTATATGAGGTCTGGAGTAATGAAATTAGTCAAAACACTAAATGCAAGTAACCATGGAAAATCATACTGATTAAGGGCATTACAATATTTACACAATTCTTTAAAGGAAAACTACTTTTATGTCACAATCACATTAATATATGATCAAACTACCCTATCAAATGTGAATATAGAATTAAAATATTGCACAACCTTATACAATCAATACACTCATTAAAACGTATGGAAATCTAGTTACACTTCACAAAAGAATAGGTCACGATTAAAACATAAAATGTGCAGAATGACAAATGATTTCTTGCATATTCAGATTGCAGATGCAACAATTTATATTCATTTGATTTTAAAGTCAAAATCATCAATACGGATATTTGTTACAAAAACATTTCAAAACAGATTAGAACTTTTCCAATTAAAAGGTACATGACACCTGATATAACATGTTTAAGCACCTTTTGAACAAAACATGTGCAACTGGGAAATATCTAAAATTGTTTCTTCTGTTGATTTTTCCTATATGCATCTTTAAAAGTGACAAATTTCAGGAAATCAGGAAAAATTCAATATTTTGTAATTCTTGAAATCATGCACTTTCACCCATCACTTCCATGCATGTTTGTACCAAAAACATTTTAGTTGGTGCTTAATATTTAAATATTATGAAAGAAATAACTGGATTGCATAAACAAAATTTAAATCATTACATAAAGCTTAATTCTATTCTTAAAAGTAACGTTTGGTATCAATAACTTTGGCAATTTTAATAGCAGTTGCAAACATGTTATTGCATGTCTGTGTTTTCTTTTTCTGTTCACTGTTTTGTTCAACTTATATTTATTTTCTGATTAACTCTTCAAATTTATAACCATTGTTTGCAAAAAACTACTGGCTCTTTTGGTGTGAAATTTTGTATGAGCTACATTTTTTTTGTACCAGAGTTATCTCCCATATGAGAAAGTATCCTTATAATGTATGTAGAGCATATTATCAAATTTCTCTACCAATATTATTATACCTTATTATATATTTTTTATATTTCTTATTTAAAATACATACATATCTATTTTCTATTTTAGGAAATGGCCATACTTGAAGCTAATAACTTTATAAAACAAAGAAATTGTAATGGACAAATCAACATTCACAACAGCAAGAATCTGCTCAAAAATGTTGTACACAATCTTCTCTAAAAAAAAGAGATCGTTCCCAAAAAAACAAAGAAAAATATCTTTAAACTGAAACTGTGCAAAAAGAGCACTTGTTGAAACCCATTGCTTGCAAATCCAAGCAAAGGGAAGTTATATTTAATTACTTTTAAAGGAAATTAGAATGACTACTACATTGTGTCCATCTATAAAAAATATAATTTTGGCCCTCTAAAAAGCAAAATAAACACTCTATATACATGGTTGTGCTTAAATTTTAATTTGCTCAATTTCATGAAACTTATGAGAGAGAATAAATATTTACTTACATAGAAACCCTTAGCGTAGGTAGGACCTACAAAATTTTAAGATTCTAAAATATTTATAGAATAATATTGGTAAAAATTGGCACATACTTATACATCAAATAAAATTTATAATCCAGTTATTGTATTAAATAGGTAACAGGAAGATGAATAAAAAATAAATATTCTTGTGTTTTAAAAAAAGTTGCATAATATTACAAATTATAGTTGCATTCTAAAATCTGGGATAAAAAAAACATAAGAGACAGAAAAAGCTGCATAATATAAAATATCACAATATTCTTTTTTTCACAATATTTTAGATATGACGCACACCCAGTAAAATATGATTCTGCTTTTCTGAAATTCTCTGATTAATGTAAATAATGATTCATAACCAAACTGTCTTTTAGTAGTATTTTCAATTCGTCAGGTCTTTCCATATCTTTAATATCCATGGTTGGATATTTACTGTTGTCAGGAACAGCACTAATTATATATTGGACAATAATTTCACATTCTACTAAAGGCTATAATATTACACATTTATCTTTAACAACAGATTTTTTGCCTTTTGTCCGTCGTTTACTAGGTTCTAATTTGATTGCTCCATCATCGTGATGATTTCTGTACTTATGTTTATTATTTTTTGTACCATTTTTTTCTTTCACATGGTTATCTTTACTATTGTTTATGGGTTCAGAGTCCATTAAACCTAAAATATAAAACATGTTTACAATCAATAAAAACATCAGTTGTTGCTCTTTTCAAATTTATTCTTAATCTGTTTTTATGGAACATTTCATATTATGATTCTACTGTTATACATGCAAATATGTTAATATTATATGATATAGGTTAAAGTTTAATTCATTTCCAATACAAATACAACCATGAAGCCAAGATACCACTACCAAGTCAAGTTTAGCAACAGAAAAACAAATAAATCAAGCATATAGTTGCTCAAATGATAGGAAACAAAAATGGAAAAATGGCAGGGACCATGGGAAAGTTTAAAAGCAGCATCTACATAGTTTTCAATAACTTTTCTTAATGCTTTGATCATACACATGATGATGTGTATGAGCTTTTTCATTCAAAATGTCTTTGACATTGCTCACTATCTGGAAAAGTCCAGATAAAAATGCTAGTCTCCGTTCATTAAAACATGTTAATGAGAGAGACACTAAATTATTGGGTGCTAGATATTATTTGTCAGCAAAACTGAGTACAACAGTGGATTGGGTAATATAAAGGTATGTAGCCTTCCAGATATTAAAGACCCTCCATAAGTAAATTTAATCAAACAGTCTTTGGCCATGGAGTTGTCCCTCTTTCCTCAACATGTGATATGCATGAATAACAAACTTACTTGTCCCTATAGTTTTTGGCATATACTCTTCCTCCTCTTCAACTTCATTAATCTGTTCTAAGTATTTTTCTGATAAATATCTAAACACTGTAAATGAAAGAATCTCTATATAAATGACAATCTAGGATTTCATTGTTATTTTTTTTTTATACAAAAAGTCTACATCAAATCTGATATAACAGAAATAAAAAAATGGTCATCTATTAATTGTTGTATATTTCGTCTGATTAAAAATTCATTCCAGTTTACAAATCTTATAACAACAACAAAGAACATTCTGACTTTTACATAATTTTCATCAATCATTTTGATTTTTTGATAATTTTAATCGAACATTTTGATTTTTTTATAATTCTTATCAAACACAAATTTCATATTTTGCAAAATACAGAATAATTCATGATTAGCTGGTCATGATATTAATAAAAATATTAATAAACATGCTTTCACATATGTTTTCCAAGTATGTTAGAAATTTTCAAAATAATCAAATGGATAAATTCATTACAACTATGATGACTCTTTTCACTTGTTTGGTCATGTTCAATTTGGTTTTCATGTTGCCGTTTTGTTGTCTGTAAGTTTGTGTGTGTTTATGTTTGAATTAGTTTTCATGTTCCTGGCTCTGTGAGAAAAATTCTGTGTTTAGGTTTGAATTGGTTTTCATGTTCCTAATTTTGTGTGTAAAAATCTGTATTTAGGTTTGAATTGGTTTTCATGTTCCTGACATGTGTGTAAAATTCTGTATGTACGGGTTTGAAATGGTTTTCATGTTCTGAACTTTGTGATTAAAATTCTGTGTGTATAGGTTTGAAATGGTTTTCATGTTCTGAACTTTGTAAAATTCTGTGTGTATGGGTATGAAATGGTTTTCATGTTCTGAACTTTGTAAAATTCTGTGTGTATGGGTTTGAAATGGTTTTCATGTTCTGAACTTTGTGATTAAAATTCTGTGTGTATAGGTTTGAAATGGTTTTCATGTTCTGAACTTTGTGATTAAAATTCTGTGTGTATAGGTTTGAAATGGTTTTCATGTTCTGAACTTTGTAAAATTCTGTATGTATGGGTTTGAAATGGTTTTCATGTTCTGAACTTTGTGATTAAAATTCTGTGTGTATAGGTTTGAAATGGTTTTCATGTTCTGAACTTTGTAAAATTCTGTGTGTATGGGTATGAAATGGTTTTCATGTTCTGAACTTTGTGATTAAAATTCTGTGTGTATAGGTTTGAAATGGTTTTCATGTTCTGAACTTTGTGATTAAAATTCTGTGTGTATAGGTTTGAAATGGTTTTCATGTTCTGAACTTTGTGATTAAAATTCTGTGTGTATAGGTTTGAAATGGTTTTCATGTTCTGAACTTTGTGATTAAAATTCTGTGTGTGTAGGTTTGAAATGGTTTTCATGTTCTGAACTTTGTAAAATTCTGTATGTATGGGTTTGAAATGGTTTTCATGTTCTGAACTTTGTGATTAAAATTCTGTGTGCATAGGTTTGAAATGGTTTTCATGTTCTGAACTTTGTGATTAAAATTCTGTGTGTATAGGTTTGAAATGGTTTTCATGTTCTGAACTTTGTAAAATTCTGTGTGTATGGGTATGAAATGGTATTCATGTTCTGAACTTTGTAAAATTCTGTGTGTATGGGTTTGAAATGGTTTACATGTTCTAAACTTTGTGATTAAAATTCTGTGTGTATAGGTTTGAAATGGTTTTCATGTTCTGAACTTTGTAAAATTCTGTGTGTATGGGTTTGAAATGGTTTTCATGTTCTGAAATTTGTAAAATTCTGTATGTATGGGTTTGAAATGGTTTTCATGTTCTGAACTTTGTGATTAAAATTCTGTGTGTATAGGTTTGAAATGGTTTTCATGTTCTGAACTTTGTAAAATTCTGTGTGTATGGGTATGAAATGGTTTTCATGTTCTGAACTTTGTAAAATTCTGTGTGTATGGGTTTGAAATGGTTTTCATGTTCTGAACTTTGTGATTAAAAATCTGTGTGTATAGGTTTGAAATGGTTTTCATGTTCTGAACTTTGTAAAATTCTGTGTGTATGGGTATGAAATGGTTTTCATGTTCTGAACTTTGTAAAATTCTGTGTGTATGGGTTTGAAATGGTTTTCATGTTCTGAACTTTGTGATTAAAATTCTGTGTGTATAGGTTTGAAATGGTTTTCATGTTCTGAACTTTGTGATTAAAATTCTGTGTGTATAGGTTTGAAATGGTTTTCATGTTCTGAACTTTGTAAAATTCTGTGTGTATGGGTTTGAAATGGTTTTCATGTTTTGACTTTGTAAAATTCTGTGTGTATGGGTATGAAATGGTTTTCATGTTCTGAACTTTGTAAAATTCTGTGTGTATGGGTTTGAAATGGTTTTCATGTTCTGAACTTTGTGATTAAAATTCTGTGTGTATAGGTTTGAAATGGTTTTCATGTTTTGAACTTTGTGATTAAAATTCTGTGTGTATAGGTTTGAAATGGTTTTCATGTTCTGAACTTTGTAAAATTCTGTATGTATGGGTTTGAAATGGTTTTCATGTTCTGAACTTTGTGATTAAAATTCTGTGTGTATAGGTTTGAAATGGTTTTCATGTTCTGAACTTTGTAAAATTCTGTGTGTATGGGTTTGAAATGGTTTTCATGTTCTGAACTTTGTGATTAAAATTCTGTGTGTATAGGTTTGAAATGGTTTTCATGTTCTGAACTTTGTAAAATTCTGTGTGTATAGGTTTGAAATGGTTTTCATGTTCTGAACTTTGTAAAATTCTGTGTGCATGGGTATGAAATGGTTTTCATGTTCTGAACTTTGTAAAATTCTGTGTGCATGGGTATGAAATGGTTTTCATGTTCTGAACTTTGTAAAATTCTGTGTGTATGGGTTTGAAATGTTTTTCATGTTCAGAACTTCGTGAGTAAAATTCTGTGAATATGGGTTTGAAATGGTTTTCATGTTCCTGACATGTGTGTAAAATTCTGTATGTATGGGTTTGAAATGGTTTTCATGTTCTGAACTTTGTGATTAAAATTCTGTGTGTATAGGTTTGAAATGGTTTTCATGTTCTGAACTTTGTAAAATTCTGTGTGTATGGGTATGAAATGGTTTTCATGTTCTGAACTTTGTAAAGTTCTGTGTGTATGGGTTTGAAATGGTTTTCATGTTCTGAACTTTGTGATTAAAATTCTGTGTGTATAGGTTTGAAATGGTTTTCATGTTCTGAACTTTGTAAAATTCTGTGTGTATGGGTATGAAATGGTTTTCATGTTCTGAACTTTGTAAAATTCTGTGTGCATAGGTTTGAAATGGTTTTCATGTTCTGAACTTCGTAAAATTCTGTGAATATGGGTTTGAAATGGTTTTCATGTTCCTGACATGTGTGTAAAATTCTGTGTGTATGAGTTTGAAACGGTTTTCATGTTCTGAACTTTGTGAGTAAAATTCTGTGTGTATGGGTTTGAAATGGTTTTCATGTTCTGAACTTTGTAAAATTCTCTGTGTTTATGTTTGAATTGGTTTGTATACTCCTGTTGCATTGTGAGTTATAATTCTACATGTTTTAAATTAATTTGGGTTTCTTGGTCATGATACTTTACGGTTAACTTCAAGGGTACATAAAGAAGTGAGTTACAAAAACAACTGCTACATCTACAGAAATTATAACAAGTTCAGAAGAAATGAAAATGTTGGTTTTTGTTGTAAATAAGAAATAAATTTCTAACCTTCCTCTACATTTAAGTTGTCTTTAACGGAGGTTCTATAAAACCTTAATCTTAATCGTTTGGCAAGATCCTCTGCTTCTTCTCTGTAAAATATTAATTTTCAAACATATTAAATTATAGAGATCCATTACACAAAATAAGTCAACATACTAACATGCAAAGAATAGGGTATAAGGGGAGTAAATGTATGAGAAATTACATAAATTTCATTACTTCTGAATATATCAGACATTAACAATGTAGAGAAGTAACTTATTGGTTTGACAATTAGATATATTCAACTGTCTGTGTTGTTAAAATAGCTGAAATAGCTGTTACAGGTGTCAAGAGTTTCTGAATTTGCTGGAAAAGCTCTGCATATACACATACTTCACTAAGATATGAAATTCAAAATTTCAACATCTTTAAGGCTTATATGATGCCTTTTTCTGATATTTGAATACTTTGATGACAGTTTTTTAACGTTTCTTGGTAATTTCACATATACTTTACCTAGATTTTGATAAGTATGAGTATAAAAGCATTTATAGTGAATTATTTTAATTTTCTTGTACAAATTTATAGTTTGACATTATGTAAAAGATGGATTGTTATAATCTGACTTACGGTTCTACAACAGCATCATCTATGAGATCAATTTTATTCTGTACAATGACCATACCAATCTCTCCTACTTCATCTTCAACCTGTAAAACTCTCATCATTACTTAAATTGTTAAATACATTGGTTTTTAACAGTTTCCATAAAATCAAACAACCCAGAAACTGGATTCTCAACATATGTACCTGTGGTTATTTACTGTAACAAACAAAAATAATAAAAACAGTTTATTTTATTGAAAAAGATTAAATCGAGAAAACAGTCAACAACAACTGGTCAATTTCTATTTGTTTGATAGAAAATAAAATCCATAGCTTAAGTGAAGTTAAAATCAACTTAAAATGTGGAGCAGGAAATTGCCAACGCATACAGAGAACCTGATTTTTTGGTGAGGTTCATGTTGATCAGTCTATTGTTTTCTATGTTGTGTTTTATAGACTGTTGTTGATATGTATTTCAAAGTGCAGAATTGATTGGCAAGGGAGAAAAGTCAAAATGTGCTTGTTTATTTTTACACAATTCCACAAATGAAAATTTAGATATCTATATGATATTTGTATTTTTGTGAACATCATTCAACTGGAAAACTGTTTGATTTTTTCGTTTCATTTTCTGACCAAAATTACACTTACAGTGGAATTTCAATTTTTATTAAAAATATCACTCTAATACTGAAAAATAAACCTTTTATAATTTTCATACCCTATATATCATTTTTTCTATGTATTTCTGATAAAAAGATATTGAACTTTTCTTGAAGCATAACTTTTTATTCAAATTAGATAATAAAGCTGTTATTAGGTCTCCCCTGTGGATATTTATTGTAACAAACAAATAATAAAAACTTCTCCCATTTAAAGCTAAAAGGTCATCAGGTGAAGAAAACAACAATAAATTGTCAATTTTCAAATTCATTAATATTCTCAGTAGAAACTAAATTTATGATTATGTTTTAAAATCTTAAGCAAAAGATTCATGAAACTTACCAAATGATTTTGACACTAAATATTAAATCATAAAACATATAGACTGCATGTTAACAAAGCATTCACTGCCATTAAAATGAAGATACAATTTATACATGTGTGTACTGAACAATGATGCAGAGATTTTTAATATTTTCTTAGGTTTCAATATGTGAACATTAAAGCAATAAACTTTAGCCATTATAACTAAAATCATATTTAAAATTATAGTTTTGAATTCTGATGTGAAATAATACAATTACAGCAAACTATAAATATACACTTTTTGACACATGGTTTTGTTTTGAACTGTTGCCTTTTAACCAGATAACAATAAACCTTTGACATGACAGAAATTCTATACCTAGATTGATATACCTGATACACCACCAGAGTTTATCTCGTTCCAGCAGGTTCCTCAGAAAAAAACAGCATTTACTTCAAATTTAAATCTTTAGTTTCATTGATTTGTGAAAATAATTTTCGTGTTAAAATTTGATAGGGTGCAAACAAATGTTACATCATGATAAGGGTCAGAATTACATAATTTCTATGATGATTAGAATTCAATAATTGATTAATTTGGCTAATTTCCAATGGAGTCTGAGTGTTTTTAAACAAATGTGTTATTTTCTAAATAACTAGAATTGAGTTTTTGGACTATAAATGGCCATCTGTTTCTAGATAAATATTTTATTTTATGTTCATTTTATCTAATGGTGTGAAAACTCCCTATTTATATTTCTATGTTTTCGTCTAACAAATATCAGCAATAGAGAATATGATGGAATATGTCAGTGAAACACCAACTCTATACAAAAAGCTTAAGCCCCCAAAAAAACCAAGGTTCAAAATGTGATCTTTGACAATAGAAAAAGTGTGTATACCATATATGTCAAGCTCCTAAACACCCTTGGTCAAGTTAAAATTTTGAGAAAAAAAAATATTAATAGAAACTAAGAAATATCTGCCACAAACATTAATTTTTCAACAAAAAACATCCAGATATAACTAAAAACAGCCCCTATGAGTTTCCTGACTTAAGTAGGCATTTTAACATATGGAGGATTTTTGTGGAATTTTCAACCCACTCTCCCTTTAATCTCCCATTAGTATGAGTACCGGGTAATATCTAATGCTAATGTGTATGCATATTTCAGGCTTCAATACTGTAGCAAACAATTTACAACAATTCAACTTTTTCTAATCAAAACAGAACTTTATAATTGCAAAGTGTTATCTAGTATTTCATGGCTTATGTCTTTATAGACAGGGTAAACATGGTGGATAGTTGATTCATTGGCAATCATTCCACATATGGTAAATATGAGGAATATCCTAAAATGAGGCTATTTTTGCAGTTTTTCACCATGTGAAACACATTTGAAGCACTAACGCAAATATGCAGACAGAGAAAAGTCTTGTGAACACTTGAGATATGTCATTTAAATTTATAACTTTACAAGTCCAGGGGCAAAAAAAGTGGCCTGATCAACCTTTCTCCTTTTTATTGCATACAAGCACTGTAATCTGGATAAGTAAATAATGTTACCTTTTTCTTCCATGATTCGACAGCTTCAAAAGACTCCCTGTCTACAGTGGAAAATGCCAACACACATGCCTGAGCACCTGTAAAATGCAGATAATATTCTATTTTACATAATATACAAATAAATGCTGGATTTTGGAAATATTAAGCAACCTGAATGGCAGTAAAGTAGCTTATTTTTACATTTATGAATCGACAACCACATCATTTGGAAGCTCATCAGGTGGTTAGTTGTCTCAATTAGGCAATCATTTCATGTCTACTTATTTTATTTAGGTCATTATGACCACTTGAATTTTTACAATTTTATTACATTATTCCACCCTGGCTTACCTACAGAAATATGTTCATTTTATCATATATCAAATTTATCTTGGTCATGATATGGAAATTATACCAATTAAGATATTAATTCCTTTGATCAACTTACTGAAGTGGATTACATACTCAGCATATCCACTAATGACATAAAATAACCTTGTCCAAAGCCAAATAGTTTGAAAGAATGATTTAGTTGGACTCAAGTGTATTGAATTGATTAATTTTTTGTAAAAATGTCAAAATTTTCTTCAGTTTTACTTCTAATTATCTATCTGTGATGAAAATTACACCCATATATAAAGAAACATCACATGATCTTGTTAATAAACTTTTAAACACCATCATTATAATATGAGAATTATATCAACACTTTGAAAATACTTTTATTGACCAATGGCATTGTTGATAAAATAATGAAGTATCTGAGTACATGATATCAAACCTGTAAATATAGCAATCAGATTACTTTTATGAATTCAATATACTCAACAGGTTTGAGCTTCGGCTTTACTATAGGATTTTTTCACGAAACACTGTTCAGTACAATGGTGAAATTGATTACTTAGGTTCATTTCCATCAATATTAATTATTGGTTATTATTTTGTAATATATCATTTAAGACTTGGACACAAAGGTCTTTAAAATTTAGTCTTTAATTAGAATTCACAATAGGAATTATCAATATTAATGAATAAATATGCTTTACAATGATATTTTTTTTTTACAACAAAGGAATGTACAAAAAATGAAGTATAATATTAACTTTTTTATTATAATCTGAACAGACTTTTTTCATTGCCAGTGTTATCTAGGTACTTTGAAGTAAAGGACAATGCATGCAAACTTCAAAGTGACACCTATTATAAATTTGTTGGTAATAATTTAGTTTAGTAACTGGTACAAACCCCTGCACCTTTAAACAATGACAAAGTTTACTTTTAAACACTCCCATAATTCTTTATCTACATATTTTTGTCAAAAGAAAGCATATGCAAACCTGCCGTGACCCAGGCTTGATAGACTCCTTGTTTGATACTTTGTGTATTTTTTCTTTATGTTAGTTGTATTTTGTGCTTCATGCAAAGCTGATGAGTTTTTTAACTGATTTTTACAGTTTGTTCTTATGTTGTGCTGTTTCACCAGTCCCATGCTAAAAGAGGGGGGGGGGGGGGTCAAGTGCTCACAAACAAATGTAACTTCGCCACATTCTGTATATTCCTGTCCCAAGTCAGGAGCCAAGAAATTTAGTGGTTATAGTTGGTTGCTGTCTGTCATATTTGTTTTTTTGTTTTTGTTTATTGTTTGGTCATAAAATAAGCTTTTTTTTTAACTGAAATTGAATAACTTTTGTCATGTTAATGGCCATTATAAGTTATATATAATATAGTATTATGCATCATTTTCAATTCCCCTGCAGTTGATGCAAGAGTAACAAGGAAATATACTATATAAATTTGCTGTATAAATATCTGGTCAGAGTAATACAATAACAAGAGGTTGTCAGAGTGACTGCAAACTGGATTTTCCTGCAGAGGTTGAACCCTGAACAGTTGAGCAAGTATGGACACTTCATTTAAGCTTAAAAAAGCTCTGAATTTGGATTGTGATTGAATATTTGACACAGTATAAGTTTGTGACACAAAATAAGTGTGGTCAAAGAACTGAAAAATTTGAAATCGGACATTTACCTATTATGGTCCAATATCCAAAATCTAATAACATTGTTATCATTAGCATATCAAAGAACCCCAAGAATTCAATTTTTGAATTGTTGATGAAATCAAACAAAAGTTTAATTTAGGACCCTTTGGACCTCAATGGGGTATTATCTAATTAATAATGAAAATAAATACAGGTTTAGATTCAGCGTTTCAAAGAACTCTATATATATTCAATTTATGTTGAAATCAAACACAGTATAATTTTGGACCCCGATTTGGACCAACTTGAAAACTGGGCCCAAAATCAGAAATCTAAATATATGTTTATTAATAGACAAACTAAGCTTAGTTTTTAAAGGAGTTTGCTTCATCAAAAAAAAAATATATATATATATAGCATTCAGAAAATAAGTTTATACAGAATAACAAACAAACCAACCACAAAATTCTTCAAACAATTTACAAAAGAAAAGATGAAAAAAAATCCAAAATGTCATTTATCATTAATACAATATCTATTAAAAATCTATAAAACTTATCTGTAATTATCTTCAAAATGTCTAATAATGAACAGTAAATTTCAAACTTTACTGTCCTACGGATCTTATCATCAACACTTAGGAAACAGAAAATTTTCAAATAAATCTGTCACTCCAATTGTAATTGTGTGATAAGATATTTACCAGATGTTTTGTTATCTATTAATTAACAGGTGAAAATTATTTAAAACACTTAGTGTAATCAAACTTTATATATATAATTAATAATTCCCAATTTTTTTTCTTTCATTTGTCATAAACTAATATAGATCTGCAACTTATCTATCAATGTCAACAACTTTATCTACACAATGTAATGTAATGAAATATATCCTTTAATAAAAATTGATTATTATCTAATGAAAATGATATTTGCAAATCACAATTTCTGTTCAAAGGGAAATAACTCAATCATATAATAAGTATATATTTGGACTTCTAAAAAGTTGAAAACTCAAAAACGAGAGAAGCAAAAATAGTGAAAATTGAACTTGATCTTCATTTAGTCACAGGAAACAACATATCAAAATTTGATAAAAATTTGTTAAAGCGTTTGCAGGTTAATGAAGGGACACTGTTTGGCAGCCGCCCGTCTGCCCGCCGTACATCCTTAAATCAATAACCGATTTTCCCCTCAAAAATCCGGTTAAAAAGTAAAAATCAACCAAACAGCAAAGTAACAAAACAGGTTAACCAAAAATAGACATCTAAAAAATAGTTTACTCTGTCTATATTTTTTTTTTCAAGACATGATAATTGTGGAATATTAAAAATCAATCTCCTCTTTTCATAAACTTTCAATTATGGAAGATTAATGATGATGTTTATTGATTAATGGATTGTAACATCACAGTAATTTCCAACAGGTAATTGAACTTTTATAGAATAACTACCTTTCCACATGCACCTGAAACATTTGGTATTGGTAATACAAAAATATAGGTTCAGGAGTTTGCTCCATTTTCCTGCTTTAACTGATGCAAAATTTTTTTTTTTTAGATTTATTATTTTGGTAAAGTGGATTTCCTGAAACTTTTGACACTATGGTATTTGTGGGATAAGGAGATGTGGTATGATTTCCAATGAGACATCTATCCACACAAAGTTCAAATAAAGTGGATGTAAGCAATATTTGGCAATTATAGACAGTTTTATGTAAATAACAATTTCATAATAATAACACTGATCAGTAAAATAATCTGGCACAATCTGCAAGGGACAATAAAATACAATCTTGCACATAATCAGTTTGGAAATCTCTTGAAAAAAAAGAATGTAAGCAAAATGCTGTTTTTATTAATCTTGTCTACAATTATAATAATATTGAATATTTTTAACTATAGCCTTAATTACAGTGCTAAGATTTGTTCATTGATTTTTTTGCATTGAATAATGGTTTGTTACAGAGAAATTAAGTAACATGGTTCAAAAGCAGTTCAATTAAATACCTATCAGGGTATATAATAACATAAATCAATTTTGAAATACAAAGTCATGTCCTTGATTACTTTGCTTTTTCATAAAGGTGTTATCAGAGAATGCACCAAACAACATCAAATTTAAAATATGCACATAGTTGGTTGTATATAGATATCTATATATAAATCAAATAATAAAAGATAAAAATCATTCAATTTGAGTTTCAAATATTTGTTTAATGCTTTATTGTCATTTCCCTTATCGAGAGCAGATTGAAAAAAATTTGTAAATTTATCATGTCAAAAAAATTTAATCCCAGACTGCCTGTAAATGTTAACTGTAAAAAACTAATTCCATCTATCAGAAAAATTCTGAAATGAAATTATATTTTCAAAAGTTTTCTTCAGACATTATCTCTTCTGATAATAATCATAATAAACTGTTAACACAGAGATATGTCTCGCCTTTTTGTACTTTTGATAATGCAAATGTTGAAATTAAAATAGCAATACTTGAACATGTAAGTTATGCAAATATTCAAAGTCAATGAACCATGACTGAAGGTACATGGCAAAACAATCTCCATGGAAATGAGATGTGCCAATGCTAATACAACTGCATACCAAATACCATAGACTTATCATAAGTCGTTCCCTTTCAACAAACCTAAACACAAACATTGACTTGTAAACTATGTAAAACTTTCAAAGTCAATGAACCATGATGACCGGGGTGGGGCTATATAATCTCCATAGAAACGAGACTTGCAAATGCCAATAAATTTGCATACCAAATATCATTGACTTAACATTAGCGATTCATCTTAAACTGATCTAATCACAAACTAATACATGTAAACTAAGCAAAAGTTTCAAAGTCAATAGACCATGACTGAGGAGGTGGGACCAAATATTCTCCATGGAAATGAAATGTGCTAATGCTTATACAATTGCATACCAATTAACATTGGCCTAACCACTAATGGTTCCCCTTGAACTGACCTAATTACAAACTAATACATGTAAACTAAGCAAAAGTTTTAAAGTCAATAGATCATGACTGAGGGGGCGGAGACAAATAATCCCCATGGAAATGAGATATGCCAATGCTTATACAACTGCATACCGAATATCATTGAC